AGAAAGAAGAAGGCGTTTGTTGTGACTCTGCTATGATTATTGATTCAAGTGATTCCGTGCTGCATCAAACTTAGTGCTGTGCTCACATGTGAACCAGGGGGTTCCACTCCATGATAGTGCCCTGATTTACATGTTAGTACACACTGAGCTTGTACATTCATCGAAGACATCGTCTCAAGAAAGAAGAAGGCGTTTGTTGTGACTCTGCTATGATTATTGATACAAGTGACTCCGTGCTGCATCAAACGTAGTGCTGTGCTCACATGTGAACCAGGGGGTTCCACTCCATGATAGTGCCCTGATTTACATGTTAGTACACACTGAGCTTGTACATGCATCGAAAACATCGTCTCAAGAAAGAAGAAGGCGTTTGTTGTGACTCTGCTATGATTATTGATTCAAGTGACTCCGTGCTGCATCAAACTTAGTGTTGTGCTCACATGTGAACCAGGGGGTTCCACTCCATGATAGTGCCCTGATTTACATGTTAGTACACACTGAGCTTGTACATTCATCGAAGACATCGTCTCAAGAAAGAAGAAGGCGTTTGTTGTGACTCTGGTATTATTATTGATACAAGTGACTCCGTGCTGCATCAAACTTAGTGTTGTGCTCACATGTGAACCAGGGGGTTCCACTCCATGATAGTGCCCTGATTTACATGTCGGTACACACTGAGCTTGTACATTCATCGCAGACATCGTCTCAAGAAAGAAGAAGGCGTTTGTGGTGACTCTGCTATGATTATTGATTCAAGTGATTCCGTGCTGCATCAAACTTAGTGCTGTGCTCACATGTGAACCAGGGGGTTCCACTCCATGATAGTGCCCTGATTTACATGTCGGTACACACTGAGCTTGTACATTCATCGAAGACATCGTCTCAAGAAAGAAGAAGGCGTTTGTTGTGACTCTGCTATGATTATTGATTCAAGTGACTCCGTGCTGCATCAAACTTAGTGCTGTGCTCACATGTGAACCAGGGGGTTCCACTCCATGATAGTGCCCTGATTTACATGTCGGTACACACTGAGCTTGTACATTCATCGAAGACATCGTCTCAAGAAAGAAGAAGGCGTTTGTTGTGACTCTGCTATGATTATTGATTCAAGTGACTCCGTGCTGCATCAAACTTAGTGTTGTGCTCACATGTGAATCAGGGGGTTCCACTCCATGATAGTGCCCTGATTTACATGTTAGTACACACTGAGCTTGTACATTCATCGAAGACATCGTCTCAAGAAAGAAGAAGGCGTTTGTTGTGACTCTGCTATGATTATTGATACAAGTGACTCCGTGCTGCATCAAACTTAGTGCTGTGCTCACATGTGAACCAGGGGGTTCCCCTCCATGATAGTGCCCTGATTTACATGTCGGTACACACTGAGCTTGTACATTCATCGAAGACATCGTCTCAAGAAAGAAGAAGGCGTTTGTTGTGACTCTGCTATGATTATTGATTCAAGTGATTCCGTGCTGCATCAAACTTAGTGCTGTGCTCACATGTGAACCAGGGGGTTCCACTCCATGATAGTGCCCTGATTTACATGTTAGTACACACTGAGCATGTACATTCATCGAAGACATCGTCTCAAGAAAGAAGAAGGCGTTTGTTGTGACTCTGGTATTATTATTGATACAAGTGACTCCGTGCTGCATCAAACTTAGTGTTGTGCTCACATGTGAACCAGGGGGTTCCACTCCATGATAGTGCCCTGATTTACATGTTAGTACACACTGAGCTTGTACATTCATCGAAGACATCGTCTCAAGAAAGAAGAAGGCGTTTGTTGTGACTCTGCTATGATTATTGATTCAAGTGACTCCGTGCTGCATCAAACTTAGTGCTGTGCTCACATGTGAACCAGGGGGTTCCACTCCATGATAGTGCCCTGATTTACATGTTAGTACACACTGAGCTTGTACATTCATCGAAGACATCGTCTCAAGAAAGAAGAAGGCGTTTGTTGTGACTCTGCTATGATTATTGATTCAAGTGACTCCGTGCTGCATCAAACTTAGTGCTGTGCTCACATGTGAACCAGGGGGTTCCACTCCATGATAGTGCCCTGATTTACATGTTAGTACACACTGAGCTTGTACATTCATCGAAGACATCGTCTCAAGAAAGAAGAAGGCGTTTGTTGTGACTCTGCTATGATTATTGATTCAAGTGATTCCGTGCTGCATCAAACTTAGTGCTGTGCTCACATGTGAACCAGGGGGTTCCACTCCATGATAGTGCCCTGATTTACATGTTAGTACACACTGAGCTTGTACATTCATCGAAGACATCGTCTCAAGAAAGAAGAAGGCGTTTGTTGTGACTCTGCTATGATTATTGATTCAAGTGACTCCGTGCTGCATCAAACTTAGTGCTGTGCTCACATGTGAACCAGGGGGTTCCGCTCCATGATAGTGCCCTGATTTACATGTTAGTACACACTGAGCTTGTACATTCATCGAAGACATCGTCTCAAGAAAGAAGAAGGCGTTTGTTGTGACTCTGCTATGATTATTGATTCAAGTGACTCCGTGCTGCATCAAACTTAGTGCTGTGCTCACATGTGAACCAGGGGGTTCCACTCCATGATAGTGCCCTGATTTACATGTTAGTACACACTGAGCTTGTACATTCATCGAAGACATCGTCTCAAGAAAGAAGAAGGCGTTTGTTGTGACTCTGCTATGATTATTGATTCGAGTGATTCCGTGCTGCATCAAACTTAGTGCTGTGCTCACATGTGAACCAGGGGGTTCCACTCCATGATAGTGCCCTGATTTACATGTCGGTACACACTGAGCTTGTACATTCATCGAAGACATCGTCTCAAGAAAGAAGAAGGCGTTTGTTGTGACTCTGCTATGATTATTGATTCAAGTGATTCCGTGCTGCATCAAACTTAGTGCTGTGCTCACATGTGAACCAGGGGGTTCCACTCCATGATAGTGCCCTGATTTACATGTTAGTACACACTGAGCTTGTACATTCATCGAAGACATCGTCTCAAGAAAGAAGAAGGCGTTTGTTGTGACTCTGCTATGATTATTGATTCAAGTGACTCCGTGCTGCATCAAACTTAGTGCTGTGCTCACATGTGAACCAGGGGGTTCCACTCCATGATAGTGCCCTGATTTACATGTTAGTACACACTGAGCTTGTACATTCATCGAAGACATCGTCTCAAGAAAGAAAAAGGCGTTTGTTGTGACTCTGCTATGATTATTGATTCAAGTGATTCCGTGCTGCATCAAACTTAGTGCTGTGCTCACATGTGAACCAGGGGGTTCCACTCCATGATAGTGCCCTGATTTACATGTCGGTACACACTGAGCTTGTACATTCATCGAAGACATCGTCTCAAGAAAGAAGAAGGCGTTTGTTGTGACTCTGCTACGATTATCGATTCAAGTGACTCCGTGCTGCATCAAACTTAGTGTTGTGCTCACATGTGAACCAGGGGGTTCCACTCCATGATAGTGCCCTGATTTACATGTTAGTACACACTGAGCTTGTACATTCATCGAAGACATCGTCTCAAGAAAGAAGAAGGCGTTTGTTGTGACTCTGCTATGATTATTGATTCAAGTGACTCCGTGCTGCATCAAACTTAGTGCTGTGCTCACATGTGAACCAGGGGGTTCCGCTCCATGATAGTGCCCTGATTTACATGTTAGTACACACTGAGCTTGTACATTCATCGAAGACATCGTCTCAAGAAAGAAGAAGGCGTTTGTTGTGACTCTGCTATGATTATTGATTCAAGTGACTCCGTGCTGCATCAAACTTAGTGCTGTGCTCACATGTGAACCAGGGGGTTCCGCTCCATGATAGTGCCCTGATTTACATGTTAGTACACACTGAGCTTGTACATTCATCGAAGACATCGTCTCAAGAAAGAAGAAGGCGTTTGTTGTGACTCTGCTATGATTATTGATTCAAGTGACTCCGTGCTGCATCAAACTTAGTGCTGTGCTCACATGTGAACCAGGGGGTTCCACTCCATGATAGTGCCCTGATTTACATGTTAGTACACACTGAGCTTGTACATTCATCGAAGACATCGTCTCAAGAAAGAAGAAGGCGTTTGTTGTGACTCTGCTATGATTATTGATTCAAGTGATTCCGTGCTGCATCAAACTTAGTGCTGTGCTCACATGTGAACCAGGGGGTTCCACTCCATGATAGTGCCCTGATTTACATGTTAGTACACACTGAGCTTGTACATTCATCGAAGACATCGTCTCAAGAAAGAAGAAGGCGTTTGTTGTGACTCTGCTATGATTATTGATACAAGTGACTCCGTGCTGCATCAAACGTAGTGCTGTGCTCACATGTGAACCAGGGGGTTCCACTCCATGATAGTGCCCTGATTTACATGTTAGTACACACTGAGCTTGTACATGCATCGAAAACATCGTCTCAAGAAAGAAGAAGGCGTTTGTTGTGACTCTGCTATGATTATTGATTCAAGTGACTCCGTGCTGCATCAAACTTAGTGTTGTGCTCACATGTGAACCAGGGGGTTCCACTCCATGATAGTGCCCTGATTTACATGTTAGTACACACTGAGCTTGTACATTCATCGAAGACATCGTCTCAAGAAAGAAGAAGGCGTTTGTTGTGACTCTGGTATTATTATTGATACAAGTGACTCCGTGCTGCATCAAACTTAGTGTTGTGCTCACATGTGAACCAGGGGGTTCCACTCCATGATAGTGCCCTGATTTACATGTCGGTACACACTGAGCTTGTACATTCATCGCAGACATCGTCTCAAGAAAGAAGAAGGCGTTTGTGGTGACTCTGCTATGATTATTGATTCAAGTGATTCCGTGCTGCATCAAACTTAGTGCTGTGCTCACATGTGAACCAGGGGGTTCCACTCCATGATAGTGCCCTGATTTACATGTCGGTACACACTGAGCTTGTACATTCATCGAAGACATCGTCTCAAGAAAGAAGAAGGCGTTTGTTGTGACTCTGCTATGATTATTGATTCAAGTGATTCCGTGCTGCATCAAACTTAGTGCTGTGCTCACATGTGAACCAGGGGGTTCCACTCCATGATAGTGCCCTGATTTACATGTTAGTACACACTGAGCATGTACATTCATCGAAGACATCGTCTCAAGAAAGAAGAAGGCGTTTGTTGTGACTCTGGTATTATTATTGATACAAGTGACTCCGTGCTGCATCAAACTTAGTGTTGTGCTCACATGTGAACCAGGGGGTTCCACTCCATGATAGTGCCCTGATTTACATGTTAGTACACACTGAGCTTGTACATTCATCGAAGACATCGTCTCAAGAAAGAAGAAGGCGTTTGTTGTGACTCTGGTATTATTATTGATACAAGTGACTCCGTGCTGCATCAAACTTAGTGTTGTGCTCACATGTGAACCAGGGGGTTCCACTCCATGATAGTGCCCTGATTTACATGTTAGTACACACTGAGCTTGTACATTCATCGAAGACATCGTCTCAAGAAAGAAGAAGGCGTTTGTTGTGACTCTGGTATTATTATTGATACAAGTGACTCCGTGCTGCATCAAACTTAGTGTTGTGCTCACATGTGAACCAGGGGGTTCCACTCCATGATAGTGCCCTGATTTACATGTTAGTACACACTGAGCTTGTACATTCATCGAAGACATCGTCTCAAGAAAGAAGAAGGCGTTTGTTGTGACTCTGCTATGATTATTGGTTCAAGTGATTCCGTGCTGCATCAAACTTAGTGTTGTGCTCACATGTGAACCAGGGGGTTCCACTCCATGATAGTGCCCTGATTTACATGTTAGTACACACTGAGCTTGTACATTCATCGAAGACATCGTCTCAAGAAAGAAGAAGGCGTTTGTTGTGACTCTGGTATTATTATTGATACAAGTGACTCCGTGCTGCATCAAACTTAGTGTTGTGCTCACATGTGAACCAGGGGGTTCCACTCCATGATAGTGCCCTGATTTACATGTTAGTACACACTGAGCTTGTACATTCATCGAAGACATCGTCTCAAGAAAGAAGAAGGCGTTTGTTGTGACTCTGCTATGATTATTGGTTCAAGTGATTCCGTGCTGCATCAAACTTAGTGCTGTGCTCACATGTGAACCAGGGGGTTCCACTCCATGATAGTGCCCTGATTTAAATGTTAGTACACACTGAGCTTGTACATGCATCGAAGACATCGTCTCAAGAAAGAAGAAGGCGTTTGTTGTGACTCTGGTATTATTATTGATTCAAGTGACTCCGTGCTGCATCAAACTTAGTGTGGTGCTCACATGTGAACCAGGGGGTTCCACTCCATGATAGTGCCCTGATTTACATGTTAGTACACACTGAGCTTGTACATTCATCGAAGACATCGTCTCAAGAAAGAAGAAGGCGTTTGTTGTGACTCTGGTATTATTATTGATTCAAGTGACTCCGTGCTGCATCAAACTTAGTGCTGTGCTCACATGTGAACCAGGGGGTTCCACTCCATGATAGTGCCCTGATTTACATGTTAGTACACACTGAGCTTGTACATTCATCGAACACATCGTCTCAAGAAAGAAGAAGGCGTTTGTTGTGACTCTGCTATGATTATTGATTCAAGTGACTCCGTGCTGCATCAAACTAAGTGTTGTGCTCACATGTGAACCAGGGGGTTCCACTCCATGATAGTGCCCTGATTTACATGTCGGTACACACTGAGCTTGTACATGCATCGAAGACATCGTCTCTAGAATGAAGAAGGCGTTTGTTGTGACTCTGCTATGATTATTGATTCAAGTGACTCCGTGCTGCATCAAACTTAGTGTTGTGCTCACATGTGAACCAGGGGGTTCCACTCCATGATAGTGCCCTGATTTACATGTTAGTACACACTGAGCTTGTACATTCAACGAAGACATCGTCTCAAAAAAGAAGAAGGCGTTTGTTGTGACTCTGCTATGATTATTGATTCAAGTGACTCCGTGCTGCATCAAACTTAGTGTTGTGCTCACATGTGAACCAGGGGGTTCCACTCCATGATAGTGCCCTGATTTACATGTCGGTACACACTGAGCTTGTACATTCATCGAAGACATCGTCTCAAGAAAGAAGAAGGCGTTTGTTGTGACTCTGCTATGATTATTGATTCAAGTGACTCCGTGCTGCATCAAACTTAGTACTGTGCTCACATGTGAACCAGGAGGTTCCACTCCATGATAGTGCCCTGATTTACATGTTGGTACACACTGAGCTTGTACATTCATCGAAGACATCGTCTCAAGAAAGAAAAAGGCGTTTGTTGTGACTCTGCTATGATTATTGATACAAGTGACTCCGTGCTGCATCAAACTTAGTGCTGTGCTCACATGTGAACCAGGGGGTTCCACTCCATGATAGTGCCCTGATTTACATGTTAGTACACACTGAGCTTGTACATTCATCGAAGACATCGTCTCAAGAAAGAAGAAGGCGTTTGTTGTGACTCTGCTATGATTATTGATTCAAGTGATTCCGTGCTGCATCAAACTTAGTGCTGTGCTCACATGTGAACCAGGGGGTTCCACTCCATGATAGTGCCTTGATTTACATGTCGGTACACATTGAGCTTGTACATGCATCGAAGACATCGTCTCAAGAAAGAAGAAGGCGTTTGTTGTGACTCTGGTATTATTATTGATACAAGTGACTCCGTGCTGCATCAAACTTAGTGTTGTGCTCACATGTGAACCAGGGGGTTCCACTCCATGATAGTGCCCTGATTTACATGTCGGTACACACTGAGCTTGTACATGCATCGAAGACATCGTCTCTAGAATGAAGAAGGCGTTTGTTGTGACTCTGCTATGATTATTGATTTAAGTGACTCCGTGCTGCATCAAACTTAGTGCTGTGCTCACATGTGAACCAGGGGGTTCCACTCCATGATAGTGCCCTGATTTACATGTCGGTACACACTGAGCTTGTACATTCATCGAAGACATCGTCTCAAGAAAGAAGAAGGCGTTTGTTGTGACTCTGCTATGATTATTGATTCAAGTGACTCCGTGCTGCATCAAACTTAGTGCTGTGCTCACATGTGAACCAGGGGGTTCCACTCCATGATAGTGCCCTGATTTACATGTTAGTACACACTGAGCTTGTACATTCAACGAAGACATCGTCTCAAGAAAGAAGAAGGCTTTTGTTGTGACTCTGCTATGATTATTGATTCACGTGATTCCGTGCTGCATCAAACTTACTGCTGTGCTCACATGTGAACCAGGGGGTTCCACTCCATGATAGTGCCCTGATTTACATGTCGGTACACACTGAGCTTGTACATTCATCGAAGACATCGTCTCAAGAAAGAAGAAGGCGTTTTTTGCGACTCTGCTATGATTATTGATTCAAGTGACTCCGTGCTGCATCAAACTTAGTGTTGTGCTCACATGTGAACCAGGGGGTTCCACTCCATGATAGTGCCCTGATTTACATGTTAGTACACACTGAGCTTGTACATTCATCGAAGACATCGTCTCAAGAAAGAAGAAGGCGTTTGTTGTGACTCTGCTATGATTATTGATTCAAGTGATTCCGTGCTGCATCAAACTTAGTGCTGTGCTCACATGTGAACCAGGGGGTTCCACTCCATGATAGTGCCCTGATTTACATGTTAGTACACACTGAGCTTGTACATTCAACGAAGACATCGTCTCAAGAAAGAAGAAGGCGTTTGTTGTGACTCTGCTATGATTATTGATTCACGTGATTCCGTGCTGCATCAAACTTACTGCTGTGCTCACATGTGAACCAGGGGGTTCCACTCCATGATAGTGCCCTGATTTACATGTCGGTACACACTGAGCTTGTACATTCATCGAAGACATCGTCTCAAGAAAGAAGAAGGCGTTTGTTGTGACTCTGCTATGATTATGGATTCAAGTGACTCCGTGCTGCATCAAACTTAGTGCTGTGCTCACATGTGAACCAGGAGGTTCCACTCCATGATAGTGCCCTGATTTACATGTCGGTACACACTGAGCTTGTACATTCATCGAAGACATCGTCTCAAGAAAGAAGAAGGCGTTTGTTGTGACTCTGCTATGATTATTGATTCAAGTGACTCCGTGCTGCATCAAACTTAGTGCTGTGCTCACATGTGAACCAGGGGGTTCCACTCCATGATAGTGCCCTGATTTACATGTTAGTACACACTGAGCTTGTACATTCATCGAAGACATCGTCTCAAGAAAGAAGAAGGCGTTTGTTGTGACTCTGCTATGATTATTGATTCAAGTGATTCCGTGCAGCATCAAACTTAGTGCTGTGCTCACATGTGAACCAGGGGGTTCCACTCCATGATAGTGCCCTGATTTACATGTCGGTACACACTGAGCTTGTACATTCAACGAAGACATCGTCTCAAGAAAGAAGAAGGCGTTTGTTGTGACTCTGCTATGATTATTGATTCAAGTGACTCCGTGCTGCATCAAACTTAGTGCTGTGCTCACATGTGAACCAGGGGGTTCCACTCCATGATAGTGCCCTGATTTACATGTCGGTACACACTGAGCTTGTACATTCATCGAAGACATCGTCTCAAGAAAGAAGAAGGCGTTTGTTGTGACTCTGCTATGATTATTGATTCAAGTGACTCCGTGCTGCATCAAACTTAGTGCTGTGCTCACATGTGAACCAGGGGGTTCCACTCCATGATAGTGCCCTGATTTACATGTCGGTACACACTGAGCTTGTACATTCATCGAAGACATCGTCTCAAGAAAGAAGAAGGCGTTTGTTGTGACTCTGCTATGATTATTGATTCAAGTGACTCCGTGCTGCATCAAACTTAGTGCTGTGCTCACATGTGAACCAGGGGGTTCCACTCCATGATAGTGCCCTGATTTTCATGTTAGTACACACTGAGCTTGTACATGCATCGAAGACATCGTCTCAAGAAAGAAGAAGGCGTTTGTTGTGACTGCTATGATTATTGATTCAAGTGACTCCGTGCTGCATCAAACTTAGTGTTGTGCTCACATGTGAACCAGGGGGTTCCACTCCATGATAGTGCCCTGATTTACATGTCGGTACACACTGAGCTTGTACATTCATCGATGACATCGTCTCAAGAAAGAAGAAGGCGTTTGTTGTGACTCTGCTATGATTATTGATTCAAGTGACTCCGTGCTGCATCAAACTTAGTGTTGTGCTCACATGTGAATCAGGGGGTTCCACTCCATGATAGTGCCCTGATTTACATGTTAGTACACACTGAGCTTGTACATTCATCGAAGACATCGTCTCAAGAAAGAAGAAGGCGTTTGTTGTGACTCTGCTATGATTATTGATACAAGTGACTCCGTGCTGCATCAAACTTAGTGCTGTGCTCACATGTGAACCAGGGGATTCCACTCCATGATAGTGCCCTGATTTACATGTTAGTACACACTGAGCTTGTACATTCATCGAAGACATCGTCTCAAGAAAGAAGAAGGCGTTTGTTGTGACTCTGCTATGATTATTGATTCAAGTGACTCCGTGCTGCATCAAACTTAGTGTTGTGCTCACATGTGAACCAGGGGGTTCCACTCCATGATAGTGCCCTGATTTACATGTTAGTACACACTGAGCTTGTACATTCATCGAAGACATCGTCTCAAAAAAGAAGAAGGCGTTTGTTGTGACTCTGCTATGATTATTGATTCAAGTGATTCCGTGCTGCATCAAACTTAGTGCTGTGCTCACATGTGAACCAGGGGGTTCCACTCCATGATAGTGCCCTGATTTACATGTTAGTACACACTGAGCTTGTACATTCATCGAAGACATCGTCTCAAGAAAGAAGAAGGCGTTTGTTGTGACTCTGCTATGATTATTGATTCAAGTGATTCCGTGCTGCATCAAACTTAGTGCTGTGCTCACATGTGAACCAGGGGGTTCCACTCCATGATAGTGCCCTGATTTACATGTTAGTACACACTGAACTTGTACATTCATCGAAGACATCGTCTCAAGAAAGAAGAAGGCGTTTGTTGTGACTCTGCTATGATTATCGATTCAAGTGACTCTGTGCTGCATCAAACTTAGTGTTGTGCTCACATGTGAACCAGGGGGTTCCACTCCATGATAGTGCCCTGATTTACATGTTAGTACACACTGAGCTTGTACATTCATCGAAGACATCGTCTCAAGAAAGAAGAAGGCGTTTGTTGTGACTCTGGTATTATTATTGATACAAGTGACTCCGTGCTGCATCAAACGTAGTGCTGTGCTCACATGTGAACCAGGGGGTTCCACTCCATGATAGTGCCCTGATTTACATGTTAGTACACACTGAGCTTGTACATGCATCGAAGACATCGTCTCAAGAAAGAAGAAGGCGTTTGTTGTGACTCTGGTATTATTATTGATACAAGTGACTCCGTGCTGCATCAAACTTACTGCTGTGCTCACATGTGAACCAGGGGGTTCCACTCCATGATAGTGCCCTGATTTACATGTCGGTACACACTGAGCTTGTACATTCATCGAAGACATCGTCTCAAGAAAGAAGAAGGCGTTTTTTGCGACTCTGCTATGATTATTGATTCAAGTGACTCCGTGCTGCATCAAACTTAGTGCTGTGCTCACATGTGAACCAGGGGGTTCCACTCCATGATAGTGCCCTGATTTACATGTCAGTACACACTGAGCTTGTACATTCATCGAAGACATCGTCTCAAGAAAGAAGAAGGCGTTTGTTGTGACTCTGCTATGATTATTGATTCAAGTGACTCCGTGCTGCATCAAACTTAGTGCTGTGCTCACATGTGAACCAGGGGGTTCCACTCCATGATAGTGCCCTGATTTACATGTCGGTACACACTGAGCTTGTACATTCATCGAAGACATCGTCTCAAGAAAGAAGAAGGCGTTTGTTGTGACTCTGCTATGATTATTGATTCAAGTGACTCCGTGCTGCATCAAACTTAGTGCTGTGCTCACATGTGAACCAGGGGGTTCCACTCCATGATAGTGCCCTGATTTACATGTTAGTACACACTGAGCTTGTACATTCAACGAAGACATCGTCTCAATAAAAGAAGAAGGCGTTTGTTGTGACTCTGCTATGATTATTGATTCAAGTGACTCCGTGCTGCATCAAACTTAGTGCTGTGCTCACATGTGAACCAGGGGGTTCCGCTCCATGATAGTGCCCTGATTTACATGTTAGTACACACTGAGCTTGTACATTCATCGAAGACATCGTCTCAAGAAAGAAGAAGGCGTTTGTTGTGACTCTGCTATGATTATTGATTTAAGTGACTCCGTGCTGCATCAAACTTAGTGCTGTGCTCACATGTGAACCAGGGGGTTCCACTCCATGATAGTGCCCTGATTTACATGTCGGTACACACTGAGCTTGTACATTCATCGAAGACATCGTCTCAAGAAAGAAGAAGGCGTTTGTTGTGACTCTGTTATGATTATTGATTCAAGTGACTCCGTGCTGCATCAAACTTAGTGCTGTGCTCACATGTGAACCAGGGGGTTCCACTCCATGATAGTGCCCTGATTTACATGTTAGTACACACTGAGCTTGTACATTCAACGAAGACATCGTCTCAAGAAAGAAGAAGGCTTTTGTTGTGACTCTGCTATGATTATTGATTCACGTGATTCCGTGCTGCATCAAACTTACTGCTGTGCTCACATGTGAACCAGGGGGTTCCACTCCATGATAGTGCCCTGATTTACATGTCGGTACACACTGAGCTTGTACATTCATCGAAGACATCGTCTCAAGAAAGAAGAAGGCGTTTTTTGCGACTCTGCTATGATTATTGATTCAAGTGACTCCGTGCTGCATCAAACTTAGTGTTGTGCTCACATGTGAACCAGGGGGTTCCACTCCATGATAGTGCCCTGATTTACATGTTAGTACACACTGAGCTTGTACATTCATCGAAGACATCGTCTCAAGAAAGAAGAAGGCGTTTGTTGTGACTCTGCTATGATTATTGATTCAAGTGATTCCGTGCTGCATCAAACTTAGTGCTGTGCTCACATGTGAACCAGGGGGTTCCACTCCATGATAGTGCCCTGATTTACATGTTAGTACACACTGAGCTTGTACATTCAACGAAGACATCGTCTCAAGAAAGAAGAAGGCGTTTGTTGTGACTCTGCTATGATTATTGATTCACGTGATTCCGTGCTGCATCAAACTTACTGCTGTGCTCACATGTGAACCAGGGGGTTCCACTCCATGATAGTGCCCTGATTTACATGTCGGTACACACTGAGCTTGTACATTCATCGAAGACATCGTCTCAAGAAAGAAGAAGGCGTTTGTTGTGACTCTGCTATGATTATGGATTCAAGTGACTCCGTGCTGCATCAAACTTAGTGCTGTGCTCACATGTGAACCAGGAGGTTCCACTCCATGATAGTGCCCTGATTTACATGTCGGTACACACTGAGCTTGTACATTCATCGAAGACATCGTCTCAAGAAAGAAGAAGGCGTTTGTTGTGACTCTGCTATGATTATTTATTCAAGTGATTCCGTGCTGCATCAAACTTAGTGCTGTGCTCACATGTGAACCAGGGGGTTCCACTCCATGATAGTGCCCTGATTTACATGTTAGTACACACTGAGCTTGTACATTCAACGAAGACATCGTCTCAAGAAAGAAGAAGGCGTTTGTTGTGACTCTGCTATGATTATTGATTCAAGTGACTCCGTGCTGCATCAAACTTAGTGCTGTGCTCACATGTGAACCAGGGGGTTCCGCTCCATGATAGTGCCCTGATTTACATGTCGGTACACACTGAGCTTGTACATTCATCGAAGACATCGTCTCAAGAAAGAAGAAGGCGTTTTTTGCGACTCTGCTATGATTATTGATTCAAGTGACTCCGTGCTGCATCAAACTTAGTGCTGTGCTCACATGTGAACCAGGGGGTTCCACTCCATGATAGTGCACTGATTTACATGTTAGTACACACTGAGCTTGTACATTCAACGAAGACATCGTCTCAAGAAAGAAGAAGGCGTTTGTTGTGACTCTGCTATGATTATTGATTCACGTGATTCCGTGCTGCATCAAACTTACTGCTGTGCTCACATGTGAACCAGGGGGTTCCACTCCATGATAGTGCCCTGATTTACATGTCGGTACACACTGAGCGTGTACATTCATCGAAGACATCGTCTCAAGAAAGAAGAAGGCGTTTGTTGTGACTCTGCTATGATTATTGATTCAAGTGACTCCGTGCTGCATCAAACTTAGTGTTGTGCTCACATGTGAACCAGGGGGTTCCACTCCATGATAGTGCCCTGATTTACATGTCGGTACACACTGAGCTTGTACATTCATCGAAGACATCGTCTCAAGAAAGAAGAAGGCGTTTGTTGTGACTCTGCTATGATTATTGATTCAAGTGACTCCGTGCTGCATCAAACTTAGTGCTGTGCTCACATGTGAACCAGGGGGTTCCACTCCATGATAGTGCCCTGATTTACATGTTAGTACACACTGAGCTTGTACATTCATCGAACACATCGTCTCAAGAAAGAAGAAGGCGTTTGTTGTGACTCTGCTATGATTATTGATTCAAGTGACTCCGTGCTGCATCAAACTTAGTGCTGTGCTCACATGTGAACCAGGGGGTTCCGCTCCATGATAGTGCCCTGATTTACATGTTAGTACACACTGAGCTTGTACATTCAACGAAGACATCGTCTCAAGAAAGAAGAAGGCGTTTGTTGTGACTCTGCTATGATTATTGGTTCAAGTGACTCCGTGCTGCATCAAACTTAGTGCTGTGCTCACATGTGAACCAGGGGGTTCCACTACATGATAGTGCCCTGATTTACATGTCGGTACACACTGAGCTTGAACATTCATCGAAGACATCGTCTCAAGAAAGAAGAAGGCGTTTGTTGTGACTCTGCTATCATTATTGATACAAGTGACTCGGTGCTGCATCAAACTTATAAAAAAAAACAATAATAGCATCTGTACGTCTTTCATGGAAAGACTTAGAATGTAGTTGATTGACTTGAATGAGAGCTTGCTGAATGAACTGTTACGGTACAAATCAGAATTTTGTGGCAATAGTTATGAATGGTTAATTTAGTCGTGTTTTGTGAATAAATGCAAATGTTGGATTTTGTTACCATTAGTAAAGAGTGTGAGAGTGCAATATTGAATCCTTTTTAATTAAGGAGACAATAAGTTTATCTGATCTTTATTGAACTGAGTAGATATGATTTTTGACACGGGATTATTTTTTGTTGCTAGGGTACGAACGTTAGCAACGGGCGAGGCACGCAGTCCACAAGTGAGGATGACATGGTAGACATCACGGCGGGACTGCAGCAGGCCGCAGCTGCTAGTGCCACAACGCCCACCAGCCACGGCACCTTCCAGCTCTACGAGCACGGCGGCAGGAACTCTAACGCCAGTGCTAACTGTAAGTACCTACTATTTTGAGCAAGTACTTTTACTCAACCTACTTAAACCTGTTTTAACACTGTAACCTGGTTGGCAAATCTTACGTGGTTTACGAACTAAAAATTTGTCCATCATTACTTACAAATAAATCTGTCAAATAGGGGTTTGTCTCACTTGCCAATACTGAGATCGCGCCGCTGCCAAATAGCTGCCAATGCACTGCATTGCAGATTAGTGCACAAGTGGGAGATGACGACTTTGCGATGTGCTCCCGAGGGCCCTAAGAAGTCGATATAATTTGTTGTTATACTATACCTCAGGTTTATTAAAAGAAGAATATTGACAATTGACAGCGGTAGTAGAGGCAGTTTTATGAAAACGGTGTTTTTTTGTAAAGAGAAAATCGACAAAAATTACTTCCTTCGCCTAGGGTATGGCGAGTGGGAATATGAGACTCTTACTGACTAAAAGTCGCCCCCGTTCCTTCTGCTCCAAAACGAGGCTGTGGTACGTATGGCGCATTGCGCTACCCCGGCTAAGCATTAGCCATGTTGGGCCTCATCTGCATTTTGAAGTTCATGAAAACGGTGCGGCCACTACATAGTACATATTTACATAGTGATAGGTCATTTTTTACTATAGCGACCAAGTTTTCGGACATTTATTAGACAGGCCATCATTACTACTATGCTGATGATTACTGTATTAGCTTTTATTGTGTACTTAACTGTTAATATTTTTGTTTCAAGCCTACATCGCTCAATACTTCAGTTCTTCTGCGGGTAAGCTAGTCGTCTTTACCTGTAGTGTTAGCATTTGTACCTGCAACATCCATAGCCTCTTAGTTTATCTGAAGTACAGCATGGGCGTAGCTTAGAGCGGGCTCCTATCTCACCGTATCTGAATTGTCTGTTTATGACGGTTCAAATTTTTAAGATTAATGTTTCTCGCAAGCGCTGTTTTCGGCAATATCGTTTGAATGCGTGCCCTTAAAATTTAAAATTCCGTATTATAACAAATGCATCAAACAAATATGTATATATTATGTCTTAACAGCGTAAATTCAATGTAACGTTTAAGGTATGTATTTTGTGTGTCGTATGTATTCTGTACTAGTAGCTAGGATAAGCTTTTATACAGGGATGTTGGAATTCACAATACAATCAGTATTATCAGTAGTTATACTTATTGTTATAAACTAGAGGCTCGCCCCAAGCTTATGCGGATGTCCAACTACCTCGTTAACGACGTAAGGGAAGCTACATCTCAACTTTACATTACGTTTCTAAAAACATAAAACACACAAAACAACTAAAAAATAATGCAAAAAAAATTGTACAGATGTTTGTGTTATGCGCTTACCAATAATAATTTTCGTCATCGTTCCACGCGAAAAATTTTTCATCCCCATCACATAGATGGTTGGCAGTCAACAACTGTGCGATTCACCCGAAACTTTCTGCCCCGCACAGCAAAACTTTGGAATGATCTTCCGGCGGCGGTATTTCCGAACCGATACGACCTTCAAACCTTCAAGAAACGAGCATATTCCTTCTTAAAAGGCCGGCAACGCACCTGTAACTCCTCTGGTGTTGCGGATGTCCATGGGTGGCGCCGATCGCTTTGTGGAAAACACCAAAAATTTTTCCTTGGTGTTTATTGGCGGTGGAATCAGCATTGGATCGCTCAATTCCCGACAATGCGCTTGACTTGGGCAGTACTGGTCTAGTTCGTGAACGCGTGTCAAGTTCGTGAACGCGTCCATTCAATTGATACTATTTTGGGAGTGGTCAACTCTAGACTGTCTAAAAATAGCTATCAGGTTATAAGGGAAATTTGTGTAACATTGTCCTCATATAATGGAACTAGCTACTCTTTCTTCACCCGCTGCTCAGTTCCATTTGATCGTAGCGTGATGTTTTATAGCCTATAGCACTCAGGAACATTGCTATCTATCAGTGAAATAATTTTGGCAATCCGACCAGCGGTTCTAGAGATTACGCCCTACATACAAACTTACAAATTTTACCTCTTTATATATAATAAAACAAACAATTGAACTGTGAAACTGATTGTAAAAAAAGCCCTGGAGTTTTTTATCATTCTTCTCCATAGGAAATTTCTACATTTTGTAAAAGCCCTGGAGTTTTTTATCATTCTTCTCCATAGGAAATTTCTACATTTTGTAAATAGTTTTTCATTCTATTTCCCGTTAGATGGTCGAAAAACGCGCGAGACATTTGTTAGAGTAGGAACCTACTAGCACACTGCCCCGACTTTGCACGGGTGCAAAACTGATTCTTAATTTATCCACTCTTTAATGGATATAGGTACTTACTTACTTTGTTTTATTCTAGGTAGTGATAAACATAAGTATTATTAATATAATAAACAAGTGACATAAACTAAAAATGAAATAAGAAATTATGTGGTACATGAAAGCTAAGTAATAGGTACCTATCTACCTTTTAAAATAAAAAGGACAAATGATTCATTTGTGAATTAGTAAATACAGCAGATAACGCGTTTATCGAAAGTTGTTAAGTTATTGAGGAGATTAGATTAAATGTTACCGATGTTCAGTTCGGTGCCGGAGCTCAATGCTAATAGTGTATTAACTTACGAAGACATGGAACCTGTTGAGTTAGACCCTGGGGACATGGAGCCCCTCGTCAACGTTGACCATGTAGGTAAAATAAACTTTCACTAAATTCTATTCTTCGAGGTAATTTGTTTTGTTTTCACTAGTTCGCTTACAGAAAAAACGATAAATACAGATTTCGATAACAAGTCGTTTAGCGAAGGTCATTAGGTATGGACCAACCTACCGGCTTGGTTTCTTTAATTAGTTAAGTATATTAGTCTCGCGTTAATATTATTTTATCATTTGATCTCCTTGATACCATTTTTAACCAAATGATGGCATTCTGTGACAGTTTTATAGCGTAATGATATATGGTAAAGGTCACATGATCGGCGTAGACGTGTCGTCAGCAAAATGTAGAGAAAGTGTTGTGTTTTCTTTTAATACAATTTTAATGAACAATAAAGCGTAATGCTGTTATTACAGACGAATTATAATGTAATTGTATAATGTTTCATCAAATTACAATTTAATCCAAGGTCTGAGGGTTATCTCGTTCTGGTAATTTTTAGTAACTTTGTACTGGCAACACTGACTTTAAATTGTCATGACAAATCGGGCTGCGTCTGCGTCACCTGTTTTTACCTTGTTTTGTTTTATTATAATCTTTACAATGTGATATAGTTTATGTGTCTGTAACTAAAAATTAGAATAGCTGTGATTATATTTTTACGTAGTTTTAATAATTTATCTTTAGGTAGTTTTCGCAATTCGTGTACAAGCCGCGTTACATCTTAAATAATAATTAGATTATATGGAAACGGTTGATAATAGGTAAAATATTGTTACAGGGGACGCAGTGCTATTTTCCGGAATGTCAGGTGAGTAAAGTTTTGCATCATTGTACAGAACTACAGAGTAGGCTCCTCATAAGCGGCGGCTGCGCAGTTTCGAGATATCAACTTGTCAATTGTATCGTTAGACAAAGTTATTCACTGCGTCAAACTATTTATTATGTGGGTAACTCATTGATTTGAATTTCACCAATGTCAGTCCTAATGAAGTGTACCTAGTTATTGCAATTGATAATAAAACTTTTATTAAGTAAACAAGTGCTAGAATAATATTTCCTACTAAACATTGTAGCCAAATGGTTTGCTAAACTTGGATGTTTGAATCGCATTCAATGTCCAGAAATAAATAAAGTAAAATACAAGAGTGATAATGTTGTTTATACTTGAATGTCAAACGGTTATTTCTTTCTCTCATACAGCATTATGACTGATTACCTTATCATATCAACTTTTTAGTATATAGTAGATCACATAAATAGAAATGCATTCAACATTGTGTGTGATGTAGCATTTACTTTTAACATGTAAAGTGCCACATAGGTCAACGGTGACCAATGGTAGCGGAGGATTTCAGTAGTTTTCTGTTGGCTAAAAAATGCATAGTGAATGTAATAATTTGTGAGGGTTGAGCGCTTATTGCTACAATGATTTCATTTTTTATATACTTTATTGAAATAACAATAAAATCTTTAATTTGAAGGTGACGATGACATCCCGGGAATTGGCCAGTATGACGACTTCCATACCATTGACTGGCAGCGTGATATTGCCCGTGATCGTATGCGACATAGATACATTGTTAAGAAGAGGCAGGACTCCATATGGGATCTTATAAAGGTATTTTTAGTTTATTTATAAAGTATTTTATTGTTATTTGGTTGAAGATGTCTCGCTTGAACCAACTTTCAAGTTAGTACACAGAAAATAATTAGAAACATAATGTACACTGACAAACAAGGTCCAAATTAATATCCAGTTTATAGATGATTACAGGTACTGTAAATATTGCATTATCGTAAATACCAATGAAATTAGTACAACTACAGCTCATGTACAGCACTATGAATTCATATTATTGATACAAATTGCTTCGCTAGTATCAAGGAAATGGATTATGGTTTAATTTGAATATTTGTAAAACAGGGTGCCCACGACGCATGGTCAGGATGGGTGTGTGTTCTGCTAGTGGGTGTCTGCACAGGCATTGTAGCTGGTGTCATCGACATTGGTGCTTCCTGGATGACCGACCTCAAGTTTGGCATCTGTCCCCAAGCCTTCTGGCTTAACCGGGAGCAATGTTGCTGGTCTGACACTGATACCACATTTGATACAGGAAACTGCTCACAGGTAATTTATATTTTAATGCATGTAAGCATAGCTGGCTGTTTGTAATACCTGCAAAACATTATTCTTTATTTTGATTGTTATTTATTAACATGGTGTTTTTGTTAGTGGTTGACTTGGCCTCAAGTGCTGGGTGGACAGCGCGAGGGCCCGGGAGCTTACATCATCAGCTACTTGTTCTACATCGTATGGGCTCTGGTATTCGCCGCGCTGTCAGCTTCCCTTGTCAGGATGTTCGCACCCTACGCCTGCGGTTCAGGTAAGCATCGATACATATACATATAATATGTGAGTAATGGGAACGAGCCTTTTGTTAAACCCAGCATAACTACTATCCGCTCGTAATATGTCACTCTAGATCTGATACACTGCTTCTATTTCAGGTATTCCCGAGATAAAAACCATATTGAGTGGCTTCATCATCCGAGGATATTTGGGCAAATGGACGTTAATCATCAAGGTGGTCGGTTTGATACTGTCCGTGTCTTCTGGCCTCTCACTCGGTAAAGAAGGTCCGATGGTGCACATCGCTAGTTGTCTCGGTGAGTAAATATTGCAATGACAAATCTGTATATGTACCTATGTCAAGTCCTTTTGCGTATTTAGTTTGTATGTAACGAGGTTTTTCTATTTTGTAGGAAATATTCTATCATACCTGTTTCCGAAGTACGGCCGTAATGAAGCGAAGAAGCGTGAGATTCTGTCGGCGGCCGCAGCGGCCGGCGTGTCTGTCGCGTTCGGAGCTCCCATCGGAGGAGTGCTGTTCAGTTTGGAAGAGGTAAGATTTTGTCGATATTGCAATGTCTTTTTTCTGTAACCGCTTTTATGCAGCGGAACAAACTATTTGCTGGATTTGATGCTTAACAGTTGACTGATTTATACAAATGGACCCTTGTTCCCAGGTGTCTTACTACTTTCCACTGAAGACCCTCTGGCGCTCGTTCTTCTGTGCCCTGATTGCGGCCTTTATCCTGCGCTCCATCAATCCTTTCGGCAACGAACATTCTGTACTCTTCTTCGTGGAGTACAACAAGCCGTGGATCTTCTTTGAGCTAATTCCGTTCGTCGGACTCGGTATTATTGGGGTGAGTATTATATGTTGATAATGCATTTGGACTATTACATTTCTCGACGAGACATACAAATAAAGAGGTTATGTGTATGTTGTCAGGGTTGCATAGCGACGATATTCATAAAGGCGAACATCTTCTGGTGCCGCTACCGCAAGTTCTCGAAGTTGGGCCAGTACCCAGTGACGGAGGTGCTTGTGGTGACGCTGGTCACTGCCATCATCGCGTACCCGAACCCTTACACCCGCATGAACACGAGCGAGCTCATCTACCTGCTGTTCAACCAGTGCGGTATCTCCAACTCTGATCCTCTGTGGTGGGTACCAATGTTTAATTACATTCAATGTATTGTCTTCTCTTAGATTCTTCGTAATTAATGACACATTGTGTGTTTTGTGCAGTGATTACAACCGCAACTTCACTGACGTTAACTCTGCGATCGAGAAAGCGGCGGCCGGGCCGGGCGTATACCGCGCTATCTGGCTGCTGGTTCTGGCACTAGTGCTGAAGCTCGTCATGACCATCTTCACCTTCGGCATTAAGGTGCCTTGCGGACTATTCATACCCAGCCTCGCGTTGGGAGCCATCGCGGGACGAATTGTAGGCATAGGTAAGAAGTGCTCACTATCGATAATGAATTAACGAAACTCGACCAGAGTGATGCTGCGAACTCAAAAACCAGCGTTAACCAAACGACAGAGTTGTATCTGCTGTTATAGTGCGTTTACCAAAAGCCCAATTCTCCCACGCCCAATCCTCAAATCCCTAACTGCCAAAATGTTCGCTAATGCATCTTGAGAAAGTGGGCAGCGCTGATTGCTCATCATTAGATAATCTTCTGCTTCTTTTCCATTTAAAAACAAATAAATATAATATTGTTTTGTGTATGTGTTGCAGGTGTGGAGCAGCTGGCGTACAACTACCCGAAGGTATGGCTGTTCTCTGGCGAGTGCTCGACGGGCGACGACTGCATCACGCCCGGCCTGTACGCCATGGTGGGCGCCGCCGCAGTGCTGGGCGGGGTCACCAGGATGACAGGTCAGCTGTTGTACCTTGATGTTCGTTACTGTATATTGAGGCTTGAGTCGTGAGTGACGTGATGTTGTCGATGCAGTATCGCTGGTGGTGATCATGTTCGAGCTGACGGGCGGCGTCCGCTACATCGTGCCACTGATGGCCGCTGCCATGGCCTCCAAGTGGGTGGGCGACGCGCTGGGCCGGCAGGGTATATACGACGCACACATCGCGCTCAACGGGTACCCCTTCCTTGACAGCAAGGACGAGTTCCAGCACACCTCGCTCGCTGCTGACGTCATGCAGCCCAAGTGAGTTCCTTACTATATCTCTCAATTTATAATTATTTGTTTGTTGCGTAAAAACATTTGGTGATTGTGTCTTGTCCAGTAAAATAATATATTTCAAGAAAAAAGTATTTTATTAGTCAATCTAAATTACTCTCTACAAGCTCAGCGCGCTGATAACTGCTGTCTAGCTAGCGAACATAACAATGCTAATTTCGAATTTATATGCGAACGACCTCGTACGTTGCTGCTGCGATACTCTGCTCTAGCAAAACAAATTATATTTATTTTATACCCTGCAAGAAAATTCATATTGAGAATTTCGAAATCGAAATAAATCCCAAAGTATGTTTTGTGTTAACTTCAAACTTCAAAACCATAGTTTTAATAAGCGTAAGAACTTGCAACAGCTTATTTAACCGTAAGCCACATTTTCGATGTCTAATCGAAGCTCCGCCACTTGCCAGAAATAATATTATGTTTGTATAATTTTCAGCCTTGCGATGTTTTATTTTTGGATATAAAATAATTTGCTACTTGTTACAAAATATAATGTTAACATTATCTCTGATAAACTATTTATAAAAAAATACTAAGTTCCTCTTTACTCTCTAACACCGTATTTCTGAAAGGCTTGTCAAATCAGTAATCACCTTACCTTAGTTGCGAATATATATACTCTATATATATATACTCTATTTCATATGAGAAGGTGTCAGACACATCACTCGAATAACGAAACAGCTGTTAAATACTATTCAAATAATAATATAATAGAAATATGCTAAAAGTGAACAACCCCTTTTTAATTCTTGACAGTAAATGTGTTGAATATTATTGTATATAGACATATTTAACTATATTTTTAAAAGGTTCTAGCATTGCTGTAACATATAATCATGGAACCAAGTATAATCGCGCATCTAGCAACTCAATTGACTATTGATTTAACAGCTGGTTAGGTTTGGTCAGCCTTTCGAAAAAGGTATAGAGTTAGTTGAGTGGAATTCTCGCTCGTTCTTCTCTATTCGAATTTACCCCTTGGAACAAGCACCTCGCTTCGCTGGCGAACAGACTGTCAGACTATTTTATATTGGCATTACAAAAGTACCTGTTTATTGTAAATATATGTTTTATAAACGTTTGTTTGCTACCATTATTTTCACAAATGTGTAATGTAGAAGATGTACACGTGATTATTTCGTTGTCTACAGACGCAACGAGACGCTGTCGGTGATAACTCAGGACTCGATGACAGTTGATGACGTGGAGACTCTGCTGAAGGAAACTGAGCATAACGGGTACCCAGTGGTGGTGTCCAAGGAGTCACAGTACTTGGTGGGCTTCGTGCTGCGCAGGGACCTCAACCTCGCAATAGGTACTTGCTCTTCAAGTTAATTAAATAACTTATTATATTAAATATTTTTAATAAATTTCTTTTTCTTTAATTTTAATTGTAGTTCGTCATAATAATTTGCTGTTTGACAAATACCTTTATGTAAATATCTTTATGTGTTTCATTGTCCTTTTCAGCGAACGCGCGCCGGACCATGGAAGGCATCACAGGGCAAACAATTGTCATTTTTGCGGGCACGGGCAACCAGCCGCTTTCTCCCCCGCCCTGCCTCATGCTCAACCGCATCCTGGACATGGCGCCCATCACCGTCACTGACCAGACCCCTATGGAGACTGTCGTAGACATGTTCCGCAAGCTTGGCCTGAGGCAGACGCTGGTCACTCACAACGGGTAACTTATATTTATATATACATCTGCCAAATTAAAACCTGATCGTAATTTAAAGTTTCAATTGAGATCAAGTATGAATCTATGGGTTTTGATAATTGACTTATGCATTATTGCAAACAATTATAGCACAACATTTTTAAGAAAAATGTAAGAACTAAAAAAATGTAGTTATCTGAGAAGTAACAACTAAAAAGTCGGGTTTGATTTGCTTTCCGGATTGAATTTACGATTTTTTTTTTATTTTAATATACCTTTTTGGATAGAAGCTTGTTGATAATCAATTATATATCAAAACATGTAGATTAACACAACAGTCAATATTGGCACCCTCAAACAATTTCTCTCTACCAAGCTAGAAGAAAGAGGCTTGTCAATATAAATATGATAATAGCCTTGCGGACAATTGATTTCAATACTTTGAAGCCAGAGATTTGCATTTAGTTGTAACCTTTCGATCTCTTCTGAGAGTATTAGTATAATAATGTGTCCTTGTTGTGCAGACGTCTCCTGGGAGTGATCACCAAGAAAGACGTGCTGAGGCACGTGAAGCAGATGGACAACGAGGACCCGAACTCAGTGCTGTTCAACTGAGGCCGGGCTCAGCGCGCCACAGCCGGGCGACGCCGACCGTAGCCAGCACGCCACGCTCCCACCCGCGGCGTAGCCTCCGCACCATCTACAACCACCGTCGTTGGAAGGAGTCGTGTGTGTGATCCGTGGTCTGTCGGCTACTCGCGTGTCGTACATCACAGTAGAGCGTCGCGCCGTTAGTGTAACCTACTCATATTTAACGCGTTAGGTATAGTTACTACATAAACATCGCATTGGCAACTGTCTGTATATTAGCTGTTCCCCGCGCAGAGCTCACATAATGTTAAGTAGATCAATTCACTTTGAATATATAGCTCAGTTATTACGATTCTGTCCGCTTCTGTAAGTACATCAACAAGCAATCAAGTTCCACTAGAGTATTAACGATCGCATCACTATTTATAATATAAAGTTGTCACCAGCTTTTACTAAACTTCAATCAAGTTGATGACATCAGTATTTAAGTGTAAGCAAACATTTTAAGCAAAAGCTACTTTGTATTTAAGTGAACAAAGTTGTTAGATATTAATATATGAAATAATTTATTATTATTTTGAAATTTTACGCAAGATTTTATGTAAATATTGTATCGTATATGAAGCATAATGTGTAACCGACATCTCATTTTAAGTAGTTTTGTAGAATCGAATATATTGTTTATAAAGCTAATCTATATTTGTACAGCTTGCACATCGACACACCACATTTGAAGGTACGGACGTATATGTAGTCCCGACCCGCGCACTATTCCCGCACTACCTAATGCAGTCAGTGTGTATATATTGTACATAAATACGTCGTCCTGTTTCAACACAATCGTTAAATTAGCAGATAATTGAGCCCGTCCCTGTGTCTTGTGTTTCTTGCAGTAGTTTGCACATGTTAAGAGTCAAATTGCACACTCCGCTTAGAACGACGTTTCACTAACACATACCGCACGCTAGCTCGTTTGCTTATATTATGACTAGCATTGATACAGGGATGCGAATATTGTTAAGAGTAAGACACGAACTAGAAAGCAGCTCATTACTGTACTATATTTCAACATTTTAAATAAAGTATTGCAAATAAAAAGAACCTGCACGTGATTATAAATCATGGTCTACTAATTTCCTAAGTAATATCTGTCGGAAGCTTTTAAATCAAGCGATAAATCTTGGGTATAGAAAGCGATCTATAGCAACTATCTCGTAGTTATAATGTTTGAATATTATACTGTTTTTATGTATTTTTATATACAAGGACTGAAAATTATAATGAACTACTAGGTATTAACAAACATTGTATAAATAACTTTACACGTTTGCGCTGCTCCAGTCGGCGCGCGCAACTTTTTATAATAGATTTTACAAGTATTGTGTATTTATTACAGTGTTACTGATGTGCAATATTTACATCATACATGCACGTTGGACTAGATTTACACGGGGTCGGCGCGGACTTCGGCCACAAAGTTCATCGCTAAGTTTTCTTAAACTAATGCCATTTTTACGCAGTTTATCCAACTCGCATCATGGCGCCAACTGGCGATTTGTGTCATCGTCGACAAATTACCGCCACCTGCTCGTAGCGATATCTGTGCCGACCCAAACAAACATTTTATATCGACTACTTATACCAATGTATAGAATGAGATTTTAAAATATTATTATCTGTCTTTCGCTTGCCACCTTATCTCGATGCTCGGGTGGTACCGTCGAAGTGTGTGTTTCAAATACATGTATGTTTAATATATTGTCACTTTTATTTTATCGTAACGGTGTGACATTGTGTTGTTCTGTTCTAAGTGGACAGATACTTCTTAAGGAGACGAAATTTTACTATAGAACATTATATTGGAGCAGGTACGGTGTCTATACTGTCAATAATTTTAGAAAAGTTAAAGGTTTCATAATTGAGGGCCAAGCGTAATGACGCAGAATTTTTGGAATGGGAAACTTTTAGTCTGTAATTGCCTCTCGTTTCACCTAGGAGGCTCACCAAACATATTTGAATAAAAAAAACATAAAAAAATGTTTTATTGAAAACCAGTCAAGTTCCTAAAGCGATCATGGAAGATACGAAGCTGTTTCTGAGGTAAATGGAGTTTAAATAATATTGAACTTGGAATCGCAAGTTAAAATAAACTTTATATTAAAGGTACTTTAATCCTTTTCCGAAATTTCTTTTTCTTTTGTATATTTTGTAATAGCACTTAAAAATCATTAAAACAAAAAGGCAATTATTAAGTTAAGACGAATTTCATGTTTTTGCTAATAAAAATCAGATAGATGTCTTGCCATTTATCCGTGAGATTAGTTTTTCGACGTGAATGTGATTGAAACAAAATAGATATCCCAATGATTAGATTGTAGTAAAAGTTGGTAAGGATCATAAATTCTTTCAGATACATACATTGCTTTCACGGCAATTTATATTTAAAAACACTATTTTATAGATAGAGTTCCTACAAAAACGGTTCTAAATACAAGGAAACAAATATAAAGTTTATTTGACATTATGTACAATTCCAAAACATTTATAACATATTACACGTTAAAATAACGGTAATTTCATAGGAAGAAACCCAAAAAGAAACATATTACTGCTACTACTATATATTACTACAATCCGAGTGAATCTACAGAACAATGTACTGTAGTTAGTATGGTACTACGGATTGGGCTCAAATGCCTGTCCAAGCTACTCGTATACAAAAGTACTAAAATGCAGTAAGCTACTACCATTATAGTGATGCCGTAATATGGATAGGTCAAGTAACAACAAGAAATAAGGTCTTACCCTTAAACAACGCTTAAACACTGTTACTGTACAGTTTGTTGCCCATTTAAAGAGAAAACAAAACTAGAATAAACGAAGACCTGCAGTATCTAGTGTCCCTGGGAGTCCAGCCTAACTATTGACATACCGACTTTACAAACAATATCCAGCGTAGAGGTACTCTGCTTTAAGTCTATGAAATTATATAACTTAAAGTACCATCCCTTCTGCTTTCAATCAAAAGCATCACAATTAATTATATTTGAATTTATTCAAAAAGAAGTGGAATCCCACGAAAAGCATTCTGTAAATTAAATAAGATGAGCCAAGCTGAAGGTTCCTTATTGTCTGAGTTACGCTTTAATAAGTGAGCTTATGCACTGGAGTTCGAGAAAAGATATTCCGCTAATCAATACTGAAGTATTGAGAAAACTATTTCTTCATTTCGATCAATCTTCAGAAATGAGTTTTTTGCGTGCGTTCGTGCAGCGGAATGTTGTTGAATTTCAAGATTTTAATTATGCAGATATTTAGTGTATGACGTCGTATAATTGAGTATGGTAAAAAAAAAATTGTGCACGCAACCATTGTGGAGAAATTCACCAAAAACTGATTCCGCTGGGCGAACGTTGTCCTGGCGGAACTTTTTTTAATCCACAGACTTTAGAAGAAAAGAGATGTATCCAAAAATTAGTGTGTATTTGTGTGTAATTGTGTATGTATAAATAAAACTAGTGCATGCATAAACTTCGGAGAAATTCAAGTTTCCGCTACGCGAACGTTTGGCCATTAGCTAGTTTTCATATAAAGCGCTTACATAGAGAGCTGTAGATTTTTACATACGTTGTTTTGAATTTGTTTAAAAAACAGATTTAGAAAAAATCGCAGGGTTTAAAAGATAAAAATATAAACGTAAAATACGCTTATTAGGTCTTAGTTCTTAAAGTATGCACTTTGGGGTCTAGATTTTCACGTTTATACAAACCTTGTAAGTGTCTGCAACATGTTGCCAAGTATCAATGATGTTCCGTTAGTAATTAAAAAGTTATAGGACAAATTTACCATGAATAGATCACTGTTTACAAAGCAGTCAAATATCACGACTTTCTAAATGAATTGCATGGTAAAATGTATGCCAATAATTAGTGTATTCATTCAACTATTCACATGCAAAATTTCATGTCATTAAATTCAGTAATTAAAGAAAAACAATTATAATACTGACGAAGCATCGAAAACCTACATAACCCGACCAAGTTCGGATGGCTACAAAAAAGCGGCCGTGCCATATATCTAAGAAACGTTCTTAACTTTCCAATATAGCATTTATTAATATGGTACAGTATCGTACACAAGCGTTAGGAAAAAATAAAACACAGTATCGTACACACGCTCGTGCATGTCTAGTCTATTGGTTAAATAGTGTAATAAAAAATATTGGTTAAATAGTGTTATAAGCTACAATATGATAAATATTTACCGAAACAGTAGTAGGTACATACATACACGTGGTAAATATTTAATTTTCCTAAGGGGTCTATAGTTAGAATCCTGATCCGTGAAATCTTCAATAGAAATTAGCTATATGAATTTTATTTGTCTTAAATATAATTAGATTATATCTCAAGTCTCAAGCGCATACTTAAATAAAATACCTACGTAAATAGTACCTACTTTCTATCATAGTCAAATACATTTAAAAAAGTAGGTGTCCAAAAATAAATGACCTATAAATTATTTCGAAACAACAAGTGTGTTATCACCTGTACCAATTCAATACCGGTATTATACTGTAAATTTTGGGATGTTACCTAAATATATTGCACGGCCGCTTTTTTGTAGCCATCCGAACTTGGTCGGGTTATGTAGGTTTTCGATGTACTTTTTACGTTTATATTTTTATCTTTTAAACCCTACGTTTTTTTCTAAATCTGTTTTTTAAACAAATATAAACAAATTCAAAACTACGTATGTAAAAATCTACAGCTCTCTATGTAAGCGCTTTATATGAAAACTAGCTAATGGCCAAACGTTCGCGTAGCGGAAACTTGAATTTCTCCGAAGTTTATGCATGCACTAGTTTTATTTATACATACACAATTACACACTAATTTTTGGATACATCTCTTTTCTTCTAAAGTCTGTGGATTAAAAAAAGTTCCGCCAGGACAACGTTCGCCCAGCGGAATCAGTTTTTGGTGAATTTCTCCACAATGGTTGCGTGAACAAATTTTTTTTTACCATACACAATTATACGACGTCATACACTAAATATCTGCATAATTAAAATCTTTAAATTCAACAACATTCCGCTGCACGAACGCACGCGAGTTTTTTATTCAGAATATAACATTTATTTTACCAAGCAAGGACGTCAAACAAATGATTAATATTATCAATCTATAAAATACGGTGTGTTTATGACATGATAAGGTAAGTCTACATAAGGGCGTTAAAATGTATAAATAATAGATAAAGAGTTCATTTATTAGGTATTAGAATTTAATTAAGACATCAGAATTAATTTTGAATATACACGTAAATTTTGAGATTATATGAGACAAAGTAGCAATCGAAAAATTTTTGCCATTGAACATTTCTTCATAGTATCTACTTGTAGTTTGTTAAAGATCTTTGTCCCATCCTTTTCCCGAGCTCGTTTCCCTCCTAATTTGCTTTTCTATTATTTTCCGGCGTGTTCTCAGTTAGGAGGGTCTCTCTATCCTATGGGTTTCATTGTACTACTATCTTCTTGGATTTTTGATGCTATGTGCTCGGGGTGTATAGTGCCCTTGTACAAATGTCTTTTTTTTGTTGCAAAATACTTTTTTATTTACTAAATAATACGGTCGCCAATAAGAAACGTGTCAATTTATGAGAAGATAATGAGACGATCGAGGATAGTAATAAAATAATTCACACGTGTATCGGTGATTTGTATTGTAATATGTACATATATTCACAAATGTTTTGGAAAGCAATGTGAGTTGCTTGTTTTATAAATTTGTTTTATACTTATTTTGGCCCAACCTTCGATTACTGTACTGCTCTGGCTAGCTCCGCCTGCTGACGCGGCTGCTGTGTCCTGTTATCTACGTTACTAAATGTTACGATATTATATTAGTAAGTAATATGAGTGTTTTAATAAAGTCACAATAAAGCCGCTCTGTTTAGACCTGTACCATTATGATAGTTACCAGACAGACAGGAAAATATAATAAAGGTGAAACTGTTTAATTAGTCAATATTAAAATTATGATTTAGTTTATATTCATTTATTTCAATTCAATACATTTTACAATGGTTACGAACATTATTAGTACATAATATTACAATTTATTCAGACCCTGTTTATGTTAGATAAATTTACGGACTGTTTGATTTCAATCATTTGGGTAAAATTCATCAAAATCTCGTCAAAAACAAACTATAATAAAATAATATATACGAAAAAATAACGCAGTCCTATTTATCATTTTTCAAAATCTAACACAAACAAAGTCGGCCATAGCTACAATATAAAAACTAAGAAATAAATATTGTCATTAATTTTAGCTTTATTTATTTTTGAACGTGATTATTTTTTACATTTTTAAATATAAAATAACATTTAAAAACGTAAAAAAACAGTATGCCCTTGATAACAGGAGGAATCCAAGCCACAGTGTGGGCTACTGCTGTCTACATCAGGGCAGGTCCTTGACAAAGCATATAATGTTGGTCTCCACAGGAGGTGGTTGGCCCATTGACGGTCATCATCGCAACAATGACTGTTGAGTTTGCATCCCACATGTCAACAATCTCATGAGCTAAATCCAGATATATCTGTTTTCACAAGACTCCCGTCATATGGGATTGTCATATTATTATAAAAGCAAAAATATCACAAAACATGATTCAAGAATAATAATACAAATATGCAGTTGTTAGGAACAACACGAAACTAAGTGATGCGCTACGTGTACCTACAATATTAATCTATTTGAGATCAGTTATCTTGAAAACATAGTACGTTCATTATTAGTATACCGACTTTATAAACTATTAGTGTGGTTTATTTCAAATCCGCTTCGCCGTCGGAATTTTGACGTAACTTTATATGATATGAAAATTATTCCTACGTATAATAAGCTAAACAGCGAATACAATAATAATAAGCTCTCTGTGGTCGTGGGTTAACCTGCGATTACCTACTAACAAGGCGCTGCTTGGCCTCACCTTGTCTCGATCTTAAATTCGTAAATCTAACTAAAGACATAAAAATTGATCACATGTCTCTAATTTTTGTTCACCGACCTAATATCACCTAAAGTGGCTGTTCCTCGATATACATATTTATCGATGCAACTCGTAAATGGAGATTCGTGAAATAAAACACAGTTAGAAGCGCATTAATTTTGAAGTAGATTATGTGAAGTTAGCTATGTGGATACCGGGTAAGTTCGGGTTACTTTGATCCAAACCCTTTAACCAATAATAACTGAGAACCAAACATATATTCGTTTTTCATTGGTTAGAAAATTTGGATCAAAGTTACCTCCCAGGGTCAAAGTAACTCGAACTTACGGTAATTTCTGTCGAGCGCTGCGGCGGTACGAGACAGCGCTGTCTAGTTGCTAGCGCACTAAGTCCTGGACAAGTGGCACCACAAAAGAAAGTTACAATATAAGCGTGCTCGTCATTTAATGAATTCGCTTAAAACAGACAGAGGATTAATAAATACAATGTACATGGATAATTAAACATTAATCTGGCCGTGATGCATTTTGTTCCATTACATATACTTTGATACATGTTACAAATATGTTCTTATTATTTAAGTATATCTATAAGTCTGTGCTTGAATGAAGATGACGAAACATTCGCTAGATGTCTATTATTATTGTGAATGTTTCGATACTTGTAGTTAATTATAGCAATATAAGGCCGACGACGAAAGCGTATAGTAGTGGGTAGGAGAGAGTGCTCAGCCGTACTCCTGTCGCTGCAGCGCCACCGACACTTTGTAGAGGCTCTCCATCATGAAGGACAGGTTCTGCGACAGCTCGTGCACAGGTCGCGTGATCGCCACCATATCTGTCGATCGTATATATCATCAAGTCCACATTTTGTATCTCAATCATCAATTAAGCCTTTCATATTTAAATCGAATGAACAGAAAAGAAACTAGAGGTATATTTCTGTTATCAAAAGTATTCTAAATAAATATAATCTTAAACAAAGGAAATAAATGTTTTCATTCAAACAAACTAGTATTACTGCGACGTCACTCCCTAAGCATAACGTACAAGGTCTCCCACGACTAAGCCACAAGGTTCCTAGAATAGTAATTTAAGTAGAATTTTGCTAAAATATTTGCAATAACAATTCGAACACCATCTACGTCTTTTAGATTATCTGGATTAAACATAATATAGTTTATGGAAAGGCTTCCATGTTTTTTGGTAAATAACAACGAATTTTACCACATGGTATCAATTTGATTTTTCAGAATTTAAGCTAGTATCTCTACTTTCCTTGCGGCATTATCGTGAGGTGAGGTGTGGGTAGCATGACGCAAGATTCTGGAACAGTAGTAATATGTTTTATTTTAAAGTTCCCAAAAGAATGACTATCTTGAATTACCTGGATGCGCCTGGGCCAGGCCTCGGCAATAAACGTGAAGTAGAGCTGTGACGTCATCCTCAGGAAGTTCCCCTCTCTCGAGGATACGCTCTGCATTGCGCTCGCGCACTAGCGCTAGTGCTGCACCCCACCTACTCATGGCATACTAACGTCAATACGGTTCAAGAACAAACATACATAGTACTGTTAAGAGAGTAACACCCGGTTTCTGAAAGGCTTGTCAACGCTAAAATTAACTAATCTCCTGTTAAATCTCTTGTCAAGTCATCTGATTGGTTGTTAGTAATTCAGTCAACCAATCAGATGACTTGACAAGAAATTAAATTGATTTTAACATTGATCGGCTTTTGTGAAACCGGGTGTAAGTGCTTGATTTACCGCGGTCCGGTTCGGAGGAGAAATAATGGGGAGGTTTTTAGTTTGAGAGTCTGACACTTCAACTCATCCCACTTAGGGACGACAGTCGACGAACGGCACGAAGAATGACAATCTTAAAAAAAAAGTAAGCGTGGGTACTAACTTCTGCCTCTGTATAAGGTGTAGCAGGCGAGCGTCGTCGTGCGGCGCGGGCGAGTGCTCGACCCACGAGTCTGCCGCGCTCGCCATCACCTGGTTGCGCACCGCACACACCGCGCCGCTCATCTCCACACCCTAATCACAACACAAATTAAATAATACTAAACTGCCTGTACACGTATTTGAATGATTTTTTTGTATCGTATATATCGAAATCTTAAACGTGCTGCTTAATGCTGCTCATAAATATAAGCCCCTAGCGTAGCTTGAAACTAGTCGTGTTGCTCGTCAAATAGTAAGCCGTATTTATTTTTATATTTATTTCTTTGATAAAATAAAGCGCAGAATTCGTTGTACGACAGCAATAGATCGTATATTTCATTCTTTTATATAAAAAAGATCAAAGATCTATTTTCCTGCGCACGCATATTATGATCCTTCAAATGGCCCCTTTCTAAATATTCTGTTTTGGCATGTGTCACGCGGAAACATCTGTCGAAACGATTAAATTATAGACATAAAATATGTAGGTTCATTTTTTTCTATTTATAAAATAACCACACTATGACTTTTCCCCTACATCATAGGTAAAATATTGCAAATACACAATTTCACATACACATCACAATTCGTGGATCACACAAAGGCTTTGTTCCGATTCCGTGCAGAATCTTTGCTACGGCATATTGCATGATAGCTCCAGCCACCGCGTCAACTGTGCAGTCAAAATTTAAATTTGAACAATGTCCACCTGACGAAATCTCTCGGTATCAGTACAGGGTTGTCTTTATATTTGGCCATAATAAAATAGTGGTGACACGTGTCAAGTTGTTACATTGTATTGCTTGCTAAAGAAAAGTCACTAAATTAAAGAAAACAATGTTTTTGACGTGAGTTTGTGTGGACGAGCCCTCGTCTGCGTTTGTAAGTATTTAGCGCTAATACTATTTTTTTATATTTCGACTAGCTACTCTCACGCGGTTTCAACCGCTGCTCGACTCCATATGATCGTAGCGTGATGTTTTATAGCCTATAGCACTCAGGGACATTGTAGCTATCTATCAGTGAAACAATTTTGGCAATCCGACCAGCGGTTCCAAAGATTACCCCCTACATACAAACTTACAAATTTTACCTCTTTATAATATTAGCATAAACTAATACACTATATTATTAGTCTATGATATTAGTATGGAAGTATAGATAAAACACAGTACTTTTAGAGGTACGTTTACGATACATTTTTAACTGCCAACTGGGTCTGATTTTTACTTATTTCAGTGTGTAGTCAATCGCGGTATGTACTTTTGTCAGCAGTATAGGGGCTTGCGTCAAATTTGCTGCGATTTATTTATTAAAATAGTGTCAATTTTATTATGTCACTAGCGGCCCGCCCCCGCTTTGCACGGGTCCAACTATCTCGCTATCAAAGGGTTACTTTTTCCTAATCTTCACCTCTACTTTTCCAATATTTTCTTTGATAAGAACCTTCTCCTGACAATAACAAACATAACAAAAAAAGAATTAGCAAAATTGGTCCAGGCATTGTTGAGTTATGCGCTTACTAACACATTTTGCGATCCATTTTTATATATAAGAAGATTAAGATGGTAAGAGGTAGAATAAGTATATAAGTAAACCTCGCAAAACCTGCAAAATACCTTTTTAGTATACCACGATCGTAGATATATTTTACATCATATATATATTCGAATTATTGAGTTATTTATTTGATGTTTTACATTGATGATTGAGTATATTATCCTAGTTAAAATACAATGCAGGTTGTGTGATAGTGATATATATGTAAACTTCATAAACAGGGCGTGGTCGCGGATTGTTGAAGTATATAGGGATACTATTTTAAGCGGAAGGGGTGGGTGGTGCGGGGCTGAGGGGCGCTCCTCTCTCGCGGCGAGAGTGGCACGCATGCGAGCTGATATTGAGTGGGACTTCCACGAATATAGTTAATCTCTTTGTTGGAACAACGGCTGTGCCGGCGCGGCATTACGCGTTCGGAGCGCGGCGCGGCCGGACGTTGTCGCGCGTCGCTCACCTTGTTCTCCAGAGCCGCCGTGTATACCGCCACGATCATCTTGTTGTTGGTCTCCAGCAATAGTAACAGCTGGAAGATCAGACGGTACAGCGAGCGCGCCACCTCCTCCGGCGAGCTGCGCGCCAGTTCCAGGACCTGCGGATAGACTTACAGTCACACACAGCCAGCATCATGTATACCAGCCGCGATATTCTAATACAAGAATTAAACAGGGCCTGTTTTTTGCTGGGGTTCTTTGGAACCTTTTTTACCATATATACATACAGATATCTACGGGCTATTGCAAATAATCAGGAACATGCGACGATGACTTACATCATCAGAATAACTGTAGTTCTATGGCTCTTTGATTGGACTTTGCGATATTGAGACGTCATTATTGTAATAATCATCATCACATCACCAAAATCAACAAGTCTACTCTACTAAAGAAGATCTAGATCTAGATAAAGATGGCAGCAGCGTGTTGGCACCTCGAGCGCGTGCTCCCGGCGGTCGAAGTAGGTGTCGAGGTGTTCATGCATCTCGAGCGCGGCGTAGCGCACGGCGTCGCGCACGCGCGCGCAGTCCGCGGCGGCCGGCCCGGCCCACAGCAGCGGCGGCTCCTCGGCGCCCGCGCGCTCCAGCACGCCCGCCAGCACGCCGGCCAGCTCGCCCGCCACGCCCGCCACGCCCGCCGCGCCGCCCGTCGTGCTCTCCGCACACAGCGACACCGTCTTCGACGTCACTTCCTGCTCATTACGATGAATAACCCATTCGTATTATAAAGCAAAAACGGTTGGTTTAAAACGAAACTGCGCATTGGCGAATCATATTAGACCTCCTTCAATCTTGTAATGGCGCCATGTCATATGTATAATCATACCGAAGCAGAGTATCTATTCAACCATGTATGTAATACTAAATATATTAGTATCTTTTCAAAAATGTATAACTGTGTTTATAAACGAGTCAAAGTAAAAAAAGCTGTACTATGTCAGTCTATACTACTTTATGTAATAATTATCCATCTATATATTATGTGATTAATGTTATCTTAGTATATAATGATAAAAATCTAAATAAAGTGTTAAATAAAAGAATTCATCAAATGTATATTGTTTCCTTTTGAATAATTGGGAAAAATTCTTTGTATAATCTGAATATATCCTGACCTCAGTCAGGATGTCCATTAACACTATGTACTTATACGTTATGAATAAAGAAGGCAGATACGATACTTATTGTCAAAAATTATGACTGACTAAATATTAGGGATGTAAGGGAGCTCCGTAACCATAACTGAAACTATCGGATATGCGATATAAAAAATATCCGTAACCGTAATCGAATCCGAAATACACGTTATGTTTGTATTTAACTTTTGAAACTCTTAAAATTTTAATATTCGTAACCGGGTCAGTATAACAGCCATTCCTATATCCATATTCGAAATTTCATATTCATTACGTACCTACTAAGAATGTGGAACACAAGAGGACAGCAGGGTGTTGTCTGAACTCGGATGGTTCATGAACTAGAGATGTTTGTGGTGGGTATTTTATAGTGGGTCGTACCTTGAGCACGGTATGTAGGCGGTGTACGAGCGCTAGCGGCGGCAGCGCGGCGGCGTGGCGTAATAGTGCGGCGACGGAGGCACGCCACGCGTCACGCCCAGCCGCGCACGCCGCGCTCGGCACCGGCGTCACGTCGCCGCGGTCCCCTGTACACACACCACTTTATACACTCTGCCAACACGTATATTACATACACATCCTCCATGTATATTACAACGACACCGGTCAGAAGTATGGGAGAGCCATGCGTCGACTTGATCTGAAATTCCTCTGGTGTTGCTGGTATTGATGACTTGTCATCAAAATTACATGGGCTTATCAGAAGCATTCATATTTTAAGAGACGCGTACTACCGTTGTACTAAGAACACTGTGTAACAGGATGTCAGACTATATGTATGGATAAAATTAAAAATATTTCAATGGCGCTAACTGATCGATCCTTCTCCAAATCTCACTCATGCAAACGTTGTTTCACATCGGTCTCCAATGCAGCTGCAATCACACCTATGAAGCTTGTCTATTCGTGCCGAAACATGACTCTCTAGTGAAAGTTGATGATTACACGTTGATACTAAGTTGGTACTCGTGTGTGCCATACATTTTATCGGGTTTATTTTAATAAATAACAACAACTGCTATAATATACAGTACCATCGTGTTCTCCGCTCGATGCACTTGAGAAAGAGTGAGTGCGCGGGCGCAGTACTAGTTCATGCGAAACTCCCGCGTCCCCTTCACCGCGTGAGCCAATCGCGCCGTCATCCCAGCCTCCCTCCTCGTCGGAAGAGTCCTCATGCGTGCTCTAACACCGATATAGAACAGTTATTATATATTCATATAAAAAAGAAAGACAAAACAGCAACATGTTTGAAGCTCATCAAATGACTTTTCCCGCCCAAGGTGAGGTGAGAGTGAGTGTCAGAGAGGTGTCTCTTACTGACTAGACGTCCCCTTGTTCCCTCTCCTGGCCTAGGCCGAGGTCGCGGTGCCTCATTGCGCTTACCCCGCAACCCCGGCTAGTCGGATGAACATGTCTGAAGCTGGACTGGTACATGTGGGGACGGTACAAGAGCGACATACCGGCTTGATGACTGGGTGCGCGTCGGGCGGGCGCGCCAGCTGCAGCGGCGGGCTGCGCTCCACGGCCGCGCCCTCGTCGCGCTCCTCGCTGGGCAGCCGGCGCCGCACGCCCCAGTTGAAGTTGTCCGAGCTCTCGCCCTGCGACACCGACACGCGTCACAACACAGCGCACATCATTGCACTACAACCACTATCACAACAAACATTAAATAAACAAACACCCCGTCACACATATGGTTACCTCGATACTCTCGCTCTCGTATTCCAGAAAGTCGAAATCCTTAAACACTCCAAAGTGGTCGGTAGGGGGCGCCCCTCCAGACGGTTCATTGCCTGGAGTGCCCGACACCTCCTCCAGGGATGAGGCCATGGAAGATTCTCGCTCCAGTAGCTCCGAGCTTTGGCTAAATATCACCTGCAATATATTCATAGACGATTTATTGAATAATTCTTACTATACAACTTGTTTGACACCCCTTGGTCATGGCTTGAGGTTTCATAACTTCATCAATACCACATCACAATTTTACTTTGAATATGTGTATAATCTCTTCTGCGTATCCGACAGGCGTGTATGATACATGTTACTTGATAGCAGATTTTCTAAATATCATACATTACTCCAACTAGTGGGAGACTACAGTGCTATCGAATACCTAATAAAATTAGGGATCTAATGATAATGAAAAATAATTTCAGTCGGGAATGCGAAGACTATATATGTATAAATTCTGTGGTTTTATGGATGAAGTTCATTACTGAGTTGTAGCTACATACAAATTTCCCAGTAAGAGACAATTGGGATGATGGGTTATTTATAAGGATAGCATTGGAAATACAACAATTAATTGTATTTGCTTACTTAATGCCAATTTAATGTACATATTGTGGCGACGGCAGTTTATGCTACTGAACTCATTAAATAAATAGTCATTCGAACATTTTATTGTTTTCATTCACTTACATTTGTGATCCCGATGGGAACTTAACACTCAACCTAATATCTAATACATGAGTATTTATATGCTATAGCAAATATTTAGCTTTTGTTTGTCCATTTGCTAGGTAGTGATCTTCCCTCTCCAATCTTTCTAAGGCCGAAGAGCAGCAATATAGTCTTTCCGCGACCAAGGAACATTAATCCAATGGAATGTATAAGTAAAAGTAACGCTGAAGTCCAAACGAAACACAACACACACGTGTACAAACAGTTTCACAATTACAATATATAAACATTTTACATCTACACAGGAGTACAGTTCTTGGTTACAAAATTTTTATACAGTATTTCATAATGAATCACTATCATAGTTACGTCTGGATTTTTGATTGATAGATAAAGATAAATATGAAAATAACAGTATACGATTTTAAATAACATTAATTAGGTACACATACATAGTTCATACAATTTAGGTGGGTCAAATAGCCATCTGATCATGAACTGTTACGAATTCGACGTATGTAGGTGTAAATGAATTTAGAATAGCTACAGTGTGAACTGAGTGTCTTTGGTGAAAATGAATAGTTAGACTGTTGAACTGATCTATACATTGTTGTAATGTGAAGTGTATTACTAACAAAGTCTAGTTAATGTCATGTTGGTACATTGCACATTGCACCGATTCTACGTGGGACAGGCGGATGTGAAGCTTTAGCCAACAAGCATAGTCGGGAGAAGTGTTACGCCACATTGTGAGGGCAAGCAAAGCGAACGACGCCGCGTCCAGTACCAGGCCGTACTTGCGGGCGACACGTGCCGGCCCTGTAGCGTGCGGTGCAAGCGGTTGCGACATAATATACATGTAGGCGAGTTACCTTAGAACATAAAGTGGTAATTAAATCGTCCTAAACGCAGCGATGGATAGAAATCAAATATTCATTAGTAATATTGCACACACTCGTTCAGCGGCGCAGCTGGTAAGCGTCGGCCGGCCTGCGTGAATCCGCCATCAAGTAGTACTCGTTAGTTCACACTAACTCGGTACACTGGATGGGAGTCAGTAGCCCAGGGATAGTGCCGGCCACTAATTTTGTGTTTTGAGTACTTGGTACAGAGGCGGCTGTTAAATGAGAACGTAATGTCTCCGCATGTTGCGTTTGTTTTACTTACAGAAGGACTTTTAGGGAGACCGACGCGCTGACCACACGTCGTAAGCAGGTTTACTAGGCATTCTCGAACGCGACCCTGTTGGTAGTCAAGTATTATTAGTACTAGTCTCAGTAGCATTGGCGATTATGAAAGCTTAAGTGGACGATCGAACCGGACGGTGTCTTCCATTTGCTTGGACCATATTCGGCGAACCAAACTAACGGTACCATGATGGTTCGGTAAGATCGTCAATTTGTGCTTTAAAAGTGAACAGTTAATGAGTGGTAACCTGTGACATCCAGGGCCGCTTCCAGCCCGAGGCCACTGCGTCGGCGGGTGAGAGTGAGAGCGAGCGACGCGGCGAAGTTGCACTCTGCGGCTGTGTACTGTTGTTGCCGCCGCCGGGCTCCGGGCCCACCACCGTCGATGCGGACCCCGACTGGGACGTCGACGAACCTAAGCAAGTTACATCGCTTTCAGAATAAACATGTTCCTAAATAGACTGAATTTGGCGGTACGACAGAGTAACACGAACGGAAAGAGGTCAGGCGCAGGTTTACGTGCTTTTCGAGGCACTGGGGTAAACCACCAATCTAGAATAACATTATGAGACTGTCATTATGAGAGTCGCCGAGGAGCCGAGGAGGGATGCAGGCCTCATGTTACGCCCAATAGAAACCGAACATAGGCAATTTTGTCCTGCAAGGGAATCGAAGATATTTTACAGTAAATGGATAAAGTCATCTGGCTGTATAATAGTTTGGTAAAAGTACTGAGTAATATTAATAAATAAAAAAAATATCATCAAAAGTGGGCCAACAAAATTAGATCGCACGCATTTGTATGCGTCACATTCGTGGAAGTGGGGCTGGGCCCTCACACCCGAGGTCTTTCCGCGCAGCCTCCTGACGTAGCTGCGCACACCGCGCCCCTCCACCCTCAGTCGTCCGAAATGACGCATAGCATCTGCAGTGTTACGTAACTGAAAATTCAAGGATAACGACGCGCAGGCGTACTCTAGTGCTGTGTAATATCAAGGCCATTTAGCTTTAATCAGCGTCTATTTGGAACAGCAATGGGTGTACTTTCCACCCACCATTAGAAATATCTGGCCATGGTTCATGCCAGGGAGTATATAACCTACCCTTGTCGGGCGTGGCAGTGGATGCGTTTGACAGCGAGCTGGGGCCCGTGGCCGGCTGACTACCCGCTTTAGGTAAATACTTCCGACCTATCACGGGAGTTTGTGAAAGGTCGAACGTAAAGTCCATAGTGCGGCCCGGTAATTCCTGCAAATAAATTCATATTAAACCATACTGAAACATTCCGATATATGGAATTGATTAGCAAGGGTTGACAAAAATGAGTTTTTATTTATTTAAAGTGGGACTATACTTGGATTTGCCCTTGAATCGTAGATGCGTTTACGAACACGCAACTTCACACTCAGGCCCGGGATAACAATTTACAGATTATACAAAGTATTGTACCCAGTTCGATACATGGCGAAGCAGCCACTGCGACAACCATACCGTCTTAGAGATTTAGTTAATAGTGTTATAATTAAAGCAGCATATACGCAAAACTATACCTTCTTGCCGTGTAGCTCTGTGTCGAGGATTGACGATGCGTTATTGTCCCAGTATGGCGGCACTACAAGAGTCGAACACCGCGTCACTACCAGCTTCAGAATTTTCATAGCCTCTTTATAGTTATTGCTGTCTTGTACCTGAGATAAAGATATAAATATTATAGGCAGGTGTGGTTGGGTATAGATTGCAAAGTGGAGCATTCGGGAGTCCAATAAAGGTCGTGCTACTCTTATTTTTTTTTATGATTACCTTTGTCCTTATGAACGTATGTTAACGTTATGTATAGGCGGAATATGGCAGAATGACACACACTACAGAGTGTTGTCCCCTGAATTATAAGTAGTCCTTTTTTACCCAGGGTGAGGCGAGAGGGAGTATCAGACTCTTACTGACAAAAACCACCCCTTTTGTCCGAGACGGCGGTATCTTATTATAGGAGAAATTATATACTGTAACTAGCTGACCTGGCAAACGTTGTTTTCCCATACAAATAAGGGTTGGTCGTAGAAGGGAGAAAATTGAGGATTCTATTTATTTTTGTATGTTGTATATATAAAATAAAAATAAAATGTGTTGCATAAAAAATAAAAAAAAATCATCAAAATCGGTCAAGCCGTTTCGGAGTAGTATGGCAACGAAAACTGTGACAGGAGAATTTTATATATTAGACTATGTAATACTGTGTGTATGCTTACGGTTACGTCGATGAACTTGGCGACGGCTCGCAGCAGGTCGGTGTTGACGGGTTGCGCGGCAGGCGCGTTCAGGTCCACGTAGTACAGCATGCAATGCACGATGGATAGGACCGGCAACTGTAGGTTCGCCGATCCCTGCATACAAAACACATCAAACCTTACTACTGGATATCCCCAGACAATTCACATCATCGTCTAATATGGAACACCTCTTTATTTAGCTACCGTTAAAAATATATGAAGTATTAATTCGTTGTGTTGTGTCAATCGGCATGTCACTAGAGGGCTGACCGACAGAATGATTTTATTTTTCATCTTTAAATCGTTGCTTGACGTTCTTTCTGACGTCTAATTAAAATAAATAATTTCACCTTGACTTTCACCTTGCCTTGACGAAAGGAAACGGCACGCAATATGCGTAAGGTACCCGTTGTGTATTTTTTCTAAATATAATTTTGTGTTACAGGTTAACACTTGAATTTTAATCTGTGACTTGGTATTTAAAAACTTGTAAATACAACTAATTGACAAAAATAAATAATTTGTCCCTAGGATTAGCATTTTCTTGCTAAGTCATCGCGCCAACCGTGTAATCTGCTGCCGACACCGAGGCGCGGATATAAGTTTTTGTATACCTAAGCAGCTTTATGTAGCCCTATAAATCGCTACTTTGCTTATATAATCAAGTAACTAAAATATAACAAATAAAGAATTAAAAAAAAAGCATTCAGCCGCATCTTACATGCAAGATACCTAAATATCGCGCTTTGATCTAGACTATTCCATGTAAATGTTACTGAAGGCCCGGGCGGCGGGAGCCGGTACACGCTCGAAATTTCTAGAATTTCATCAACAATGTGCGTGGAAAGTTGGTCAGACCGATGCACTCAGCTAGTTACTACGCGCCCGGGTGACCTATATACCCAATACCCAGTTACACGCGTGACGTTAAAGCTACGCGATTTATTTTGTACACGTAAACATGTTATATGTTTATGTAGTATTTTAAATGTTTACAATCCAGTGCTTTAGTGATAAAAACTTGGAACTGATTTCGAAGTTTCATAGTATCCTATCACAATGGGATGGGTAGACAAGTAACATGACAAGTAAATAATTTGAAAAAAGAATTATAGCCCTACAAGACAGGACTTCATCCTGGTGTATTTAAAAATATATATTCACATACTAAGCAATAGACCTAGACCCGACCACAGAAAGAGTCGATCCTTGCGAGGACCAGAACGCCAATCACATTTAGCAAGAAACGAGAACAAACTAATTGGGTAGTTTCCTAGGTCAAAACTAAATTAATTCGACGTTTTAATACAATAAAATATTGAAAAATAACTATACCTGTATTCATCGATCGATCGATACACTAAGTTTTAGATATTTTGTAGCTAATTATTAAGAAATAAGTAAGCTCTTTAACGCAAAAATACTATGACGTCATAACGCAGTTTTTCATACAAATTTCATAGAAAAGTACTTATCGGTTTTTAACATTAGGATAAAAGTATTGAATTTGAAACTACCGTATTGCATTACCTAACCTTTAAAGAGTAACTATAGTTTCATTTATTTATTAACCAAGTCAATATATTAGTGAAAAGATGGTACCTTCTCGAGAACCTCGACGAGGAAGGCCAGCATCTGCTGTGACAGGTGCGAGTAGGTGTCCCACAGATACTTGACCACGCATTTGGTCCACTGGAAGCTCTCCTTGCTGAACGTGCGCCGCGAGTATAGCGTCATCACCGTGCCCAGGTTCTCCAACTTTTTGCTCTTCTCCGCTGTGAACTGAGAGAGAACATTCATCTAATTATTTACTCTTCAAAATAATATATTATTCGTTTCATGTAATAAATTACGGATTATGTTAGTAGGTAGTTATGCCAGCACATTTAGTATACCTGTGCAATGTGACACGCTGCGCGTACGCAGAGCTCATTGGCGTCTTCATAGTGCAGCAACATGTAGGGCAGTAGTGCCACTACTGTCATGGGGAACGCCAGAGATTGCGTAGGGTCAATGACCGGCAGCTCCAGCAGTGGGATCATGTCCACAAGCACGCCCACTACCGGCTCGTACGTGTTGGGGTGCGTGCAACCCTGTTGAGAGATACACGTTATATAATTTAAAACACATTTAACCAGCGCGACAATCTTAACAATTTTCTCTAACTATCAAAAACTAGCTTCAGCCCGTGGCTTCGCCCTCGTTGTATGTTGATAAAAAGTAGCCTATGTCCTATTCCGAAGTGCCTCCATGCCTGTGAAAGATTTCATCCAGATCCATCCAGCTGTTTGGGAGGGATTGAGTAACAAACATTCAAACATCGTAACTTTCGCATTTATAATATTAGTAAGATGATAGTTGTCAGGAATTTTGTATGAAGTACGATAAGTATTTGGGTAGCAATAGTGACCTTGAGGAGTAGCGCGTGCAGAGAGGGCGAGGGCGAGGCGTGGGCCTGCGTGCGGTCGAGGCGCTCGCGCGCGTCCGGCCGGTCTAGCGGCAGGCGCGACATGACGCGCGCCAGCAGACGCACTCCCAGTAGGAACTCGTGCTCGTAGTCAGACTCCAGCAACGACGCGCCCACCCAGAACAACGTCGCCAGGATCGTCAGCTTGTCGTCCTGCAACAACGCACCGGGGAGCTTGCACAAAAACAATATTAGATTAATATACAGTTAGTATTCACAAACGCATACATTACATGTCAAATAAGCTAGCATTCGTTGTTGAATCAAAGCAAATTTTATTTCACGACAAGCGATATTAATGTTAGCAATCAAATTAAGAAGACAAAGGTATTACTAAAAAAAAGTTGTATTACCTGTGTGGCGCTATCGCCGAGTAGTTTGAGTGACTGTGCAGAACGCGACCGGCATAAGTTGGAACACACGCCTTTAGCGGCCTCGCTGCATGGACGAGCACGCTCCGCTAAACACAGACAGTGTAATCACACATTATTACTATGATAGTTACACTCAATACCTAATCTTCAGCCACAGGACAGTCAACGACTGCCCAAATGACTTCCAGATTGGCTTAAAACTTTCATAATATTTTTCATATCGTGCATACTTTATATTGTAACGTTATGCTAGCACTTGTTTGTTTATAACTACATAAACAGGTTTCGCTGAGTTTCCCTGGCAGTGACATTGTTCTTCATGTGTTCTAAGATAATATTTAACATGTTTATTAGTAAGCGAGGTTACCGTGCGCTTGCTTGTCGGCGTTGGGCGGCGGCGCGTTGTTCTTGCGCAGGCAGTACGAGACGGAGTAGCTGGTGCTACGTGTGTGGTTCGTCACGCAGCCCACACATACCCCCGGAGAACGCTTGCCTGTACAAACATAAATACCGACATTATTAAGTCACCATGACCAATATTTTATTAACCAAAAACATTTTTTAGGTATGCAATATTAAGTGCGTTCGCATCAAATCTTTGAGAATTTGTCTTGAACAAATATTTTTAATCAAACTTACCAGCAGTGTAGGGACTTCCGTTGTTAGGTTGCCCTCCGTCTTTATTGTTTAGGTTCGGCGTAGATTTGAAAATGTCCCTCATGTAGTCGAGCGGCCTGAAGTTGGACTCGAGCGAGTCGACGGCAGCTTCTAAGGTGAGCAGTAGCTCTGTGACATAGCCCTGCATGTCCTCGCCTTGCTCCGCCACAGTCTCCACGAGGCGAGACAGTATGTCGGACACCATGCGCCCTGTCATGGCCACGCCAATAAAGCGGAATACCTAGAATACGAAACCAGGCTTTTGTGAACGAGGGAACAGGTATCTGCTGTGGATAGAGAGCAAATATGTTTGCAATGGTACCTGCAGCGAGCGGCCAGCGTAGTGTCGGGACGGGCAGGACAGGCCCAGCTGCAGCGCGGTCTGCGCCCAGCGCTCCGAGATGAGCGCGTGCGGCAGGGACTCGCGGAAGACGCGCAGCACGTGCCGCAGCAGCGTCGACATCTGCTGGCAGCTGCGTAGCGTCCACACTGACAACACGACCACACGTTACTCTTCACCTGTTGCTACATTCCTATCTACTTCATTGTATTATATTATTTCTTTCCTACCTTTAGCTGTGATGTCTTCGTACTGCCACAGCGGCATCAGCGTGGGCCGGTTGGCGAGGAAGTGGACGAGGGACTTGATGACGTCAGCCACCGGCAGCTCAGTGGGCTCGGCCTCCGGCGCGGGCTCGGCGGCCGCCGGCTCCGGCTCGGCCTCACCTGTTACTATCACAGGCAGTGACGGATAGTTGTCACACTCACCTACAAACATTTGTTCCGTTTTCACTTTAACAGTGTTTCGTGCCAATTATTGCTTCTAGTTATGTTTGAGACATACCTTCGGGTGTGACTTGTGGATCGGAGCTGAGTGAGCGCGCGTGTGCTCGCGGTGAGTGGCCGCACTGGGGGTAGCTGTCGAAGGCTGCGTCTGGCTCTGTGGGAAACATGTAGGGAGAGTTGACATGGCGTGTGTCAATAGGTAGCCAGTGTGCAGTGTACGTGTGTGACGTCAGTTACCGGTGAAGTTGTGTGGCACGAGCGGAAGCGCGGGCTGCGGCACGCCGAGGCCGAGTTGCTGGGAGCGGCTGGCCAGCAGCACGCGCGCGACCGTCAGGTGGTCGTGGTGCGCCGCCACCGCCACCAGCAGGTTCAGCAGCAGCTGCCGGCAGTGCTGGTGCACTATCCATCTGCATGCATCACGCACCACATTACATTATACTACTCCTACATCTATCACAGAACATACTTCAACCTGTAAAGCACGTCACCTGGTATGGTCCATGCCGAGGAAGACAATGTGCAGCATGAGCGGTACATGGATGGACCAGTCCAGCTCTACACCGTCCAGCACCACGTCGCACAGCAGCATGACCGCCACGTTACACCTAAACATTTTAATTTCCTTAATGTAATAAGAATTTACTTTCGCCCATCCATTTTTCAGAAAATAAGAAAGACTATAGTTTACAAACCTATGGAACCCGGAGATGGGCTGTGTGGTGTCGGGCAGGTACTCTGTGAGTAGCGCGAAGAAACCACCGTACTCGGGCATAGGTAGAGGTCGCGGCTGTGGCACGTCCATTCGCGTCTCCTGCGGCGTGGCCGGCGCACTGCCCGGTACTGGCATCAAACCCGGCTCAGGGCATAGGCCAGTCTGCAGGCACGGCACGCGAATTAGTATTTAGCTTATACTTTCAGTAAAATAATCCATAGATGGAGTGTAATAAATCGTACCGGAGTGGCATCCCCATCAGACGGCGGTGGAGGCTCTTCGTCCGCCGGTGGAGTGGAGCAGGCCGGCGCTGATGCCCGTTTGTCTTGTGCTCGGGCACTGGGCGTCTCCGGAGCCTTGGCACCGCTGACAAATCGACGAATTGGACTTAATTATGCTTTTACAAAGTCGAATGGATCGTAAAATTTATTATAATTGTGAGGATATTAGTTGTTGCGATTTCCCTTCCTCATCCATTTCGTCTTCTCATACCATTAGAATATTACTTTTTTAATGGTTCAAGAATGGAGAAATGTGTATGTATCAGTAAAGCTACTATTACATGTTTTCCAAATAACAGAACCAATATGATTTTAGTCAACTGATTAAAATGAACGAAGAATGATTTAGTTCTGCATCAACAATAGTTTAGTTCCGCAAGGTTCTTCGGGCCACGGCAGTTCGCTTGCATTTTGATCTCGATGAACGAAAATATAAAAATAATTGTCATTTGTTCCGATGTAATACAAAAAAAGTGCAATACCCTTAAAATGTAAAAAAATCAAGAAGTTTCGCTTCATTAATGAAATATCCTTACATACTTATACGAGAAAAGTTTACAGAGTAAACATTGACTTAATTTGTGGTAAAGACTTAAAGCAACATCTTTTGTCTAATTCAGTAGAGCCTTTGGAGAGGTTGACATGTTATTATTATATCCTCCACTATTCACCAATGCAATGGTGGCACGAGTTCCTCGTAAACTTATTACGCAGAACGCATACGAGCCTAATGCAGTGTCCACACAATAGTCCTTCCTGTGTCCTTAAATAAATGCGTTTGTGAACACTCAATCAAAAATTTTTTTTTAAGTAGCACCCTTAGTAATTATTACCAGATCATTATCAGATTCTGTGTCGAAACTTAAGAAATTATAGGTTTTAACTTAACTACAAAGGGATGAACAGTGTATGCTGCCTAGTTGATATTTGAACTATTTTATATCCAGGTGGTTAAGCCCCCGCTGGTAACTACATGAGGTATGTGACTTTCTAATTGTATAATTAAAATGTTATACATTTTTAAAACATTATTACTTCGTTTCGTATATCGGCATGTAGGTAATTATTTAACTGATATCGCTCAGTTATACATATTTTGGAAAGGATCCCTTAGTACTCGACTTGGACAGTTTTTATTTGAAAAGTGAAAAATCCTTTGCTCTGCTTTTATGGATACGCAGCCTTAGCTGCAGGGGGTTGCGGAGGGGTGCTCGTGTACGGTCAGACTAATAATTTCAATCGATAGATTATAAAATTTGATATATCGGTATAAAAAAAAAAAACTATATTCATTTCGTTTTCCTTAACATTGGTAACAAATACCTATTAGATCTAGATTTAATAAACTTAGCATTTATTTTATGAAAATTTTTAACTATAATACTTTGCCATTACAAATGAACCGGAATGATTAATTGATAAACATTAATTAACATAAAGAAACATAAAACTGTTATAATAAAGAAACGAAAAATTGTTATTATAAAGAAACCAACTTCAGTCCGGTTTGGTAACAAAAACGCATAAAGGGGTGGAAATATTTTGCAGGCCGTACGCAGTTGCCACGTGCAAATTTACTTTGATCTCTGGGCATATACACATCGGACAGCAATCAGGTGTCCAAATTAATTGGCCACAGTACGATCCGAAGTGAGAGGTGAGAGCTAGCGAGAGAGTACAGTACCGAGCCTCAGTACCGATACGGGCGCCGAGCCGTGACGTCATTACGTGTCGAGCTTCCACAGATTATTTGATAGAGGCGATTTCGCGCGTTGTACTTACATCTCTGAACTTTATTTCTGTTGAAAAATTGTGAATATATGAATTCAAGTACATTTAGATATTATATTTCACTTTGATAGAAAAAATAGTGTTAGTTGGTTCTTTACAAAGTAAACGGAACTATAAGTGTTCGCACACAGAAGAAAGAATTACGGGAAACGAGGTACGTAAATATCTTTACAATTAAAAAATAATTTTAAGCTTTTATTTATCTGTAAGTGCAAACATTTGCCGTGGGTCCGAATATATACGAGTTAAATAATTGTTTTTAATAGTTTTCGACCAATTTTATTATTTTCCTACTGAAATTAAACTTTTTACAGGATGATGCATTTATTTTTTCTGTGTTAGAAGAAGAAGAAGATTTGAAGAAGTTTTGTTTTCTAAGTGTTTGACGGGCTTCCGTCCCCGGTTGTGTTGGCAAAGCAAACAATTATGTTGAAACGCGACGCGACCATGAACTTCGTGCAACATGTTGTGACTTCATAACTGAAGGAATAGGTCAGTAGTGCCGCTTGAAAACAGTAGGGTTAATGTTTTGGCACCCTAAACACAAGTTAAATCTATCATTGGCTGCTAGAGTTTCATATAAAATACTACTTGTCGTAAAATGTAAGTGGTAAAGTACAATTTGAAAGGAAAAATGCTGTTTTCTTAATATTTGGTTTGAATAGTGTTGACTGTATGGGTCCGACGGCTGTGCAACAGGTCGCGGCTTTGGTTCAGCCACGGCAAAACTCTTTATGTGATATACAAGCTATCTATTGTTTCGGGTCTGGGTGAGATGTATTTGTATTTTTGTAAATTCGTTTACGATTTATATAAATGGTGATCGGCCGTCAATCAGGTCGTCGTTTGCCTTTTATATTATAATAAGCAAGATTACTAAGAGCTATGTAGGTAACTCTATTTGTTTGGTGTTTATAATTTTTTTTCGTTTTGTATATCTATAGTAGGATCGCAGTTAGGGATCACGTCTCTGTACCGTGCATCATCACAGACAATAAATATCTCATCGGCCTTTATGCACGAATTTCCCAAACGCAAATTTGCCATCATTATAATATGGTTTTAGGCACGTGTAATGATCAACGACATCGATGAGCGGTTAATCTTAAGACGTATTGTTGGGAAACAGTCGCGAGATAAGAATCCCAGTTGGGTATTCTTTATAATTACAAAAAGAGTAATCCTCGCTTCTCCAGTGTAAAATTATATTATTTATTATACTTTAAATATTCGTATTAGAAGATTTATTTTTCCATGTAGATCTTAAGCCGATAAGTATGTTTGTAGGTTTCGTTTTTTTGTACTGCGCGATGTTGTCTAAGAAAAAATATCCTGTATACTTTTGGACGGTATGTTTCGGCAAGTGGGTTTCACACACCGACCTCCCTTTCAAACAGTCTCAACAAGGACCAATCCCGCTTCCAATAGCTTCGGTAATCATGGTAGATGACGGATCTGATAATCAGATAGGCGTCAACTATACGACGGAGGTAGGCTTGCCCCCGGTGGGGTGTGGGTAGGGCGGCACGTAAACAATTCGTTTGAATTCAAACCCCGTGCATTACGTGCACCAACTAATGAACAAGTACTTGTTTCACAATTAACATCATATTCATACTCGTGTAATATTACATTTTCTGCTTTTAATGCCAATATGAACATCTCTCGGTAGTGAATGTAGGTGCACCGTACATGCATAACTAATTTACACATACGTGTCATTTGATCGTTTATAACTTCATTAGGGTGTAGGAATTTACTCATATATATCCTCTTGAGCTGTGTCGCTAATCTAGAGAGGATGTATGTTGACTGGTTTCGTGGAATCCTATTTAGTTTATAGGTATGTATCCGTAATCCGTAAGTAACATTGATCCGTTTTCAATATGTTGCATAATCATTATCTTTAAAGTTATAAGTGTTTTAAACAGTAATAGTACTCTTGATTCCGGGTGCCCTACCTTCTTGAGGAAAATGTACGGTTTTTTACACCTCTCATAGGCGCGATAGACAGGGTAATTATGAGCTGCGACCCGAACATCACAAAAACAAATGATGCCTCGTACACAGCAACCTCCCATGTGGTGAGTTGTCGTGAAGGCCTCAGAAAGAGACCTTCTTTCACCAGGCGACGTCTTCCGGATGATGATGACACAGCGAGCGCAGTCGCTGTGCATCAAAAGCAAGCGCGATGGTATCGAAAATAAAATCCGTCTCTGTTATTCCCTAATGCGTAATTAACAGTCCAATTAAAGGCATTAATATGCAATGGCGTCACATGTCCGTCTCACTCTCACCAACCACCTACCAATATAGTAGTTCCGACGTTGACATAATAGGAATAGAACAGGAAGAAAAAAAACAAAAGTGTCTACAGAACTTAATACATTTTTCTCGAAACTATTGCAAATGAATGCAGAAATAAGCACGTAGTTGAGAATGAACAAATTAGTAAAGAGAATAAACCTACAAAAACCTACATTAAGGCGACGAATTGTTTAACAATAATTCTAAAACAAGGCGCGCGCGCGCCCCGCCCCCCGCACGCACCCCGGTAAGTTACGTATGCATTGCAACAGGCGGCGCCGGCGAGCGGCGCGCGGCGGTGGCTGCGCGGAACACAGACACCTTGGAGATGTCTTATATATTTTTTTTTTATGAATTTACCTATGAAGTTTTTTATTGATTGTCTTTTCGGAAATTAACACGTGCTAGTGTTATTCAAATAACGAAACTAAGATTTTCGTGATTTGAAAAACATTAGCACATCTCTTTTTAAAGTAAAATATTTTTAAGAATTATATATTTTTTATAAATAATATTTAATACGATTAAAATATCATTATTTACATTTACATAAGTATTCTAAGGCTGAAATCCTTTTTCTTGTAAGTATTAAATTATTGTGAGGGTGTGTGTTTATTTATTTAAAATAAATAAACACACACACCACACACAAGGAACATAATTTATTATACATTGATCATCATCATCTTACTGCCCTTGTCCCGTTTTATTTGGGGTTGGCGCAACACGGTTTTTTATTCCAGTCTATCCTGTCACTCGTTGCACTATCACTAACTCCCTTTTCTATCATATCACTTCTCACACAATCCATCCATCTTTTCTTTGGCCTCCCTCTCCCTCTCCATCCATCCACAGGTAAATTCATAACTCTTTTAGCAACATGCTTTTCATCTCTCCTCTACATTACCATACCAAGACAAACGATTTGATTTCAACTTTTCAGTCATTGGCGCCTCTTTCAAACTTCCCCTAATATACTCATTTCTC